CCTAATTCGAGTCTTCTCTCTCTCAACCTAAAATCAAAAATGGAAAGCCAAAATTCAGGGTCAGATGCGAACTCTCTCTGTCAGAGCTTTAACCAGAAGAATGATGGTCCTCTCTGTCACTGCAGCAGACCGACTTGGATGTCTAAATCATGGACAGACGAAAATCCGGGGAGAAGATTTTTCAAATGCAATGTTCATGGATTTTTGACTTGGGCAGATAAAGAGAAGCCAAATGGGTGGCAGAAAGTGAGTTTATTGGAAGCCCGAGATCAGATTCGTCGGCTAAAGGAAGAAATTAAAGATCTTAGAGAAGTAAAACAACACGGTTTAAGCGCAACCGCAGGTGACTCAGTCATGGTGAAATCGGAAACATGGAAGAAGAACTATGAAGAGATGAAGAAGCTTGAACACGAAGCTATGGCATCCAAAGAAAGGGAAAAATTGCTCCGCCAATTTGTGGTACTTTCGTGGGGTGGATTCATCATAGTTACGGCTATGATCATTAAAATGTCGAAGACTTAGCTTTGTAGTTTGAATGTTAAGTTGTTCCTTTCTGTTTGGTTTTAATGGTTTAAGTTGAACTCTTGTGTTGTTGTTTGGAATCCCTTGTAATGGTTTTTGTTTTCTTGAATGCATTGCCAGTGTTTTCTAATGCATCTGAAGCTTCACTAGAGGTGTAAAGGAAAGAAATGAACAAAAATTGAAAAAGAAACCAAACATAAGAACCATAACAGAGTGCATACATAGAAGCCATTACCGAGTGATACATGCTTAAAATAGCATTTTGTTCCAAAACAAGAGTGCATAAATATATGTCATAACCGAAGAAGGCTGTTGCTTAAAACAGCATTCACCTCCAAAATAAGAGAACTAAGTCCAAAAACCACACCAAACAAAGATAGAGATGATCCTAAAAATGTTAAACCAAAGATAGAAATGATCCTACAACCAAGGAGCGCGAGGAGGTGGTTGTGATGATGAAGGAGCTCGAGTTGGTACTTGTGATGATGAAGGAGCTGGAGGAGGTGGTTGGGACGATGAAGGAGCTCGAGGTCGAGGTGCTTGCGATGTTGAAGGTGCTTGGCTTGTTGAAGGATATCGAGGAGGAGGTGCTTGTGGAGGTGGACCAGTCATATCAACTGCCCTTGATCCCCAAACGTCGAAGACCTGACCCGAAAATGGAGCAATGTAACACCCATAACCTCTAGGAATAGTAGGTTGACCACGACCTCGAGGACGGTTTCCACGGCCTCGCGGGCGACCTCTACCACGCCCACGGACTCCAGAATTTGCTGCAGGTGGAGCAGTTGAAGGCTGTTGTTCGGAAGAAGCTTGTGTAGACGTGGAAGCACCTGGTGTTGATTGGCTTGCAGCTCTCCTCCTTTTGGGTGCATTTTCGATGCTCCATGGATCAACCTAGGCAAAAACCATTAGAACCCATACACAGCTTGTCAAAATGAAATAGAACTATAAGTTCGATACATAAAACATACCACAGTAGTCTTCCGAGGTCTTCCTCTTTTCCGTTTAGGAGCTGTGTTAACCACAGGTGCATTCTTACAAGTCCCTATGTTATGGCCAGTCTGCTTGCATTTGCTACAGGTCATAGTCCTTCCCCCTCTTGTGAATTTGGTAGGATTTGTAGAAGACTCATGTGCCTCTTTAATCCGATCATACTTTTTAGGTCGTCCAGGCATTCTTCTTTTCTCAGGGATTTGAATCGGATCTTTTCCTGTCTTTTCCCACATTCTATCTCCATTTACGGGCTTGATGTTGTCTTTGTAAGTATCTTGCCACTTTGATGTCAAGTAGTATGAATCCACAAAGCTGAAAAACAAAAAACAAAATGCCTTATAAATTCAGTTAACATATAAACAAAGCTGAAAACAAAAAACAAATAACACCAAACATTACTTACTCTTATGGATCACGGTTATGTTCGGTGATGACATAAATGGCATGACGGCAAGGAATTCCGGTGAGATCCCATTTGTTACAAGCACAATGCTTGTCTGGAAGACACACCTCGTAGCTCTGATCATGCTCTAGCACCTCATACACGTTTTCACTACTTGTGATAACTGTGCAATACTTACTGTCTTGGCGGTTTTGCTCGAAGATCTCCATAATATTGGGTGGAAATTTAGTGGCACACTTCGAAGTCTTGACACGCCTCCGGGCTATACGCTTCATAGCTAACCTCCTTATCTCCTCAAGCATGTTTATGAGTGGCAGTTTTCGAGCTTCTTTGATAGTTCGGTTGAAACTCTCGGACAAATTATTACAAACATCCTCACACCTGGCATGATTACCAAACCAAGCCCTCGACCAAGTCTTAGGATCTGTTCGCTGAAGATCTTTAAATGCATCTTCATCAAAGGCCTTCAAAGCATCCATATTGTAGTTATGATCACCAACCGATGAGCTGTATGCTATTGCCCAAAAATAATCCTTATACTCATGTTGGCCGTAAACTTTCCTCCAGTTGGCATATATATGTCGAGCACAATGCCTATGTTCTGCATTTGGTAGGAGATCTGCAACAGCATTGATCAGACCTTTTTGTTTGTCAGAGATCACCGTGAATCCATTCCCCACTCCCAAGTCAAGGTTAGTCTTCAATTTGTCAACGAACCACGCCCAAGAATCGTTATCCTCTACTCGAACAATAGCCCAAGCTATGGGATAGATTCTGTTATCAGCGTCTCTTCCTACTGCAGCCAAAATCTCGCCCTTCAACTCCCATTTCATAAACGACCCATCAAGCCCAATGATTGGTCGACAAGACCTTTTCCAACTATTTCTCAAATTTGCAAAGCAAATATAGAACCTATCGAAGACAGCCTTCCCATCAGCTCGCGGAAGAGTACCAATCTCTGTAGTTACACCCTCATTGCTTCTTCTAAGTTCTGCCTCATAATCCCACAACTTAGCAAATTGCTCCCTTTGAGTTTCGATTACAAAATTTAGAGCAATTCTTCTTGCCTTCTGACATATCCACTTGGATACATTGAGAGTATATCTCATCATGATCTCGTCTTTAATGTCTGTCCATTTCAGACCAGGCCTTCTCCTCGCTTCATCCTTGTATAACTTCCCAATTGTCCCTTGTTTGAGCATCCGAGCTTTACTGCTCTTCATATGAGTATGTCCATCGACATAACTCTTCACCATCCATTTCTTTATCGGCTTCTCGACTGAGCAATATATACGCCAGGGACATGTCTTATTCGTACATATTGCTCCTAACTTATTCTTCTCCCACCGACACAGAATGACGTCAAAGTTGGTTTTCAAGACATACCTTAGTAGTTGGTCTTTAAACTCTTCACCACTTCTGAAAGTCTGCATTAACCACAGGTAAGGTTCCTTCTCGTTACTGTATGAAGCTCTAGATTTCTGCGTTTCCTTTCTACTGAAATCTTCCCATTCATCGTCGGTATCCACAGCAGGTTCTGGTCTGTCAGCATCCTTACATTGTCTCTCCATTTCAGCCTCATCATCGAATGCAGACTCCACATCAGGTTGTCCGGTATTGTTGTGTACTTCACCGGCAGCTCCATCACCTTCACCAAACACTTCACCGACAGGTTCATTGTCTCCTGCAGGCACTTCCACGATGGCTCCACTAAATCCACCAAACACTTCACCATCACCAACATCGTCTCTAAGCCTGATTTCTTTAAAACACTCCTCAACCCTTGGATCATCTGCTCTTTCTTGCACAATTTCTTCTTCTGGTTCCTCAACACCAGCATTTTCATTTGCATTGTTGTTAACATCATCATCATCAGAATCAGACTCTTCTCTCTCATTTTCCTTATCATCAACGGCTTTGTTGTTAACATCATCATCATCAGAATCAGACTCTTCTCTCTCATTTTCCTTATCATCAACGGCTTGTAGAGCACCAGCATTAGACTCTTTTCGCTCATTTTGATCACTTTGCGGAAGTACCACTTGCTCGAGGAACAAATCAATTTCCCCTCCTTTCATAGCTACAGCACACATTTCTAGGATCTCTGCATCAGAACTGAGATAGAAGATAGCCTTACATGATTCCATTTCTGCTTCTGGGAGCTTGTACCAAACTCGTTCCACCGCACCACCTCCTAACCCGTGCTCTTCACAGAATTCTTCAAAAATCGACCATGTCATGTAATCTGGATCAACCACTAACCCTTTCTTCACGGATCCTCCCTCATATGTCCACTTACTCTCACTCGAATGCATAAGTCCTCCATAGTAAAGATTCACCTTGAAAGTGTCACTGCAACATTGAAGATAAAAGGGTAAATCAAAGCAAATCCATGCATCAATCTAAACCCTATAGCAATATCGAACCAGAAAACACGCACACGACATCAAAAATCGATTTCCTACCTCATTGTCTCGAACTGTTCGTTTCACGACTTCAGCACTTCGTCTCTTCTCGGTTCTCTCTAAATCATATCGCGTCGACTTTGAATTCGTGGATGGATTTTGATAATGTGGATTAGGATTCGTAATTCGATTTGGGGAAAAATCGATTTCGGTTTCTAGGGTTCTTTAGTTCGATTTGGGGGAAAAAAGTAAAAAGGTATTTAGTGTTTTTTTTTCTCTTAATAAACTCACGTTTTTTTATTCTTAAACGGTGTTTTTAAAAACTAAACGGTGTGATTACCATCTGTTAAACAGATTAACGGGGTTAAGAGAATCGGTGTCAAACTTTCGGAATTTAAAACATCGTATATTAAAGTTCAACTATTATATAATCTGTGTATATTTCATCCAACCAAAATAATCTGTGTGTTAAACGTCTAAAGAAAAATAAGTTGGTGTATTTTCCCTAAATATAATAATGTAGAGCAATTACATTAAAGTTTGGGGGGGTAAAAGTAACGCACGAAAAAAGGAGTTATGGGTTCTTGGTGTAATTATTGCTTTGTGGGGGACATGTGAATGAAATAATTGTGGTCATAGATTTAAAGCTTTTTATGCTGTCCAAAAAGAAGAAGAACAAGATATATACAGAATCCCAAATACTTATGAAGAAAGAAAGCCATTGATAAACATACATTAAGCTTCTCCTGGATGTAATTTCCTAATTCTGTTTTAAGTTCTTCAAAGAATATACAATATAAACGAAGATAGTTTAAGGTATGTATTTTTCTCTTAATTATTAATTATTGAATATATGAACAAATTTCAATAGGCAAAGTCGATTTCTTCATTTCACACGCATTTTATTGGTGAGTAAGAAAAGAACAAATTGTTAAACACTACAGGATATGTATATGATCTTTTGGATTCTTTCTTTGCGTATCATGATAACGTTGGTTTGGTGTCATGTCTTTACTATCACCACCATGTATTATGCTTCAAGACTTTAAATCAAATATGAATTTTTTTTTTCTTTTACAAACCGACTTGAAATTTATTTTTAGACGAATTCGTAAATGATTTTTTTTTTCCATTTATTAAAACCCTGCTTCTTTCTTCTTTTTTTTTTTGGTAATTCCCGAGCGCTCGGATAGATTTGGTATTTACATGATCTAATTCTGGTTCTTTTTATTTACGAATATCTATACGGTTCAGAAATCCAGATACCTGATTTCTTACATAATCAATGTAAGATCGAATTATAGTTATTTTCATGAATTATTGTTCCCTTCCTCAGATAAGAAACAGTAAAAGGTATTAAAACGAAAGAGGTGGTGTTGCGTACACTGAAAAAAAGGTCCAAGTGATGTTAGATAAACTGTCACTGGTGCAGCTCACAATTGTCTTTTAAAAACTCAAACTGCAAAATCAACTACAGATACTCTTTTAAAAACATTGTGCTGAGAGATAACAGATTTTGCAGCTGACGATGGTATTCTGCTCCGAGGACGTGACGACAGGGCTGAGAGATGCTTTCACTTATTGTTACAGATGCAAAGGCAGAAAAGTTACCCTTTCAGATCACCACGACGATGATGATGACGACAAGCTTACAGGGGATTTTGACTACGACCATGAAGTAAACTAGATGACACATTCCCTTGCCTTTGTGTAAAAGTTCTTTTCTGATTTTGTGTTGGTTTCAGATTGTTGTTTTCCAGATAAGAAGTCGGGCAATGGAGAAACTGAGGCAGAAGCCAAGGATAAGCATGGAGAGACAAATAACCTACCAATCCAAAGAAGAAAGCGACATCGAAAAAGAAGAAGGCATCGAGTTTTGTTCTGTGGGAAGCAGTTTTTCGGAATGTTGTCATAGTGATTTGAGTATAGAAGGATACATGACTGCGAAAACCGAGTTTTCAAGGTGTTCGAGCTTGGAAGGTGTAGAGTTGGAGAATCAATGGAAGGTGTATTATGTGAAGGAACTTAGAAAAAAATCGGTGATTCAAGAGCTGTGTCATTGCCAAGGATGGCCGTTTGGTTTGGGAAGAAGAGCCGCGTTGCTTCCACCGCTTCCTAAGTCTCCTGCAGAGTCTTGGTCATGGAGGAAACCCAACAGAGTTGCTCCAATTCCTTTTACTTGAATCACACACAAATCATTTAAAAACAAAAGAGAACGCTTTATGTAAGGAAAACAGAACACAAAAGGCTTGTTAAAATTGTTGGAGCTGTGAATTTATTTTCAATTGATGTTAAGCTCTAACTTAGTTTGGAGGAAACAGTGAACAAACTCACCCCATAAAATTTGTCTTGGTCAGTTATTGACCTTATAATTATGTGTTAAGACAAAATCTGGCAACAACAACATAACACAATTTGCTCAAATTTAAGATCTTTTCTCTCTGTTTTATGCCCTTTGCTCCACGTACGAACCCGAGAGTCCTGAGGTTCCAAGAACGGTAACCTATAGAAGAGAAAAAAAATCAATGCTTTAGAGAGACAAGAACCGGTTCGTCCTAAATCAATGCATGGCTGTTGACAAAGAAAGATTGAAGAGATCACATATAAAACAAGTGAGAATGTTGTTAATATGCAAAGCATAATTCGTTAAAGTAAACATTTGTGTCTGACAATGCAGAATATGATTAAACTCATGAATTTGAATAGCTTGGATGATGCATAACAATTGTGACAAAGAAGGATTGAAGAGATCACACATAAAACAAGTGAGAATGACGATAATATGCAATGACCAGGTTGTTCTAGCTTATATGTTCCTATCAAAGATGCACATTGCAACTTAAAATCACCAGAGGAAAGAAGTTTTCGAAAGCATAAGTTTTGTAAAATCAAAGCTTTAATACCTTTCCCCATTCTGAACCAAGCCCGCTGCATCTCATCTTCAAGTGGATCATCTTAGTCCCCAACTCCATCTCAACCTTTTTCTTCAAGTAAACTTCTTCAGGTCCAAAGGCATCTAAGTATTCAACGTACCTTTGATAAGCAGTACGCAGCGCCTTGGTTATATCTTCTGGTAAGGTCTTCACATTCTGTAGCAAAAGAGAAAATAGTTAAGCATCAAACAACCTGAAACGAAAGAAAAAAAGTGGTTGGTGAGGCGCAATGACAAACCTCGCCACTCATTCCAATGCTATCATCGATTTCCATCTTAATGGAAGTGAGAATCCCACCAAATTCCTCAACAGCTTCAGCTGCTCGGAAGACGTTCTTTAAGGCCTCTTGCCCTGCCTTATCATCTGAGTTTTTCGAGATTGCGTTTTTCGCATCATGAACAACAGCAGAAGGGAGCTCAGCCCAATCAGCAGCCATCAATTCTTTGAAAGCATTCAGAACATCATTGTCTTTCATTTCAGGCATGTGAGACACATCTTCGCTAAAGTTGCGCACTTGTCCAATATCCATTGCACGAATGTATCGAGAATCTGCAAATTTCACCATCAAGCACGTCAAATACAAAGTGTACACGCACGAGTGGACCTCTCAAAACAAACTCTCGTCTTTGCAGACCATTTTTCACCATCAAGAATGTCAATCACAAAGAGCAATAAGACCTCAAAGTATTCGCAACAAAAGAGTTATAGATTTCAAAGGTAAGTACATCGAAGAACACTAGAATTTCTCCAATACTATTGCCAGATACAAAATAATTGCCTAAAGTGGCCAATTCAGACTCTAGAGTAGAATCGAGAAAAATTGAAGAAACTGATCTAGAAGTCGTTATCCTAGCATCGAACAACACCTAAATCAACGTATCTAGAAAATGAATTCGTGGATCCTTGTAGAGATCAACACACTGAAAACTTGAGATTCCACCAAGACTAACATTCAGTAACTACACAATCTCGTACATCGGAAGAGATAGAAACAAAGAGGTAACGATCATAGTTAATTACCGTAAGGAGTTCGATTTGAAGGAAATGAAGAAACAGCGAAGAATCCTCGCGTGAAGACGAAACGATTGCGCAGAAGCTGGTTAGGAGCGGCGGATCTTGATGATCGGAGTGCAGCGACGGTGGCCACCGTAGCGGTTCGGCAGAGGGATCTCAGAAGCACCATGTTTGATGTAGTCTGAAAGAGATTTTCGTTTTTTTCAATCTGAATGCGAAAGCTCTCTGAAGTCCCAGCTTTCCGAATTCCGATGGTGGTGACTACGATTGGGCTGTAGTAGGTAATTTGGGCCAGAAACAACAGAGCGCAATCTAAGTTAACTTTGGCCCATTAAAAGATTAAAACTTCTTTGATTAGTGGAATACAACTGTCAAAATTTATAAATTTATAAATAGAAAAAAAAATGACTCCAACTAATCTTTAAAAGAAGAAGAATCACTACGAAGTAATAAATAGTGAGTTTGTCGTTCGATCTGAACAAACAAAATTTGTGCGTGTTTTGGACAAAATTTCCATGAAGAAAACTAATTTGGTATTTCGATCTTCAAAAAAGTTTAAACAAAAATTTAACAAGTGTTTGAAGCAATGGCTGGTTCATCATCAAAAAAAAGAGGAAAAATGTTTTAAGAGAGAGGTTCATGGCATTTGCGTTATCCTCAATGGTAGTAGAGGAGAGCTATTACATGCCTTAGCCAATATGAAGATTGTCTTTTTGATGTTGTAGTCAGTGATGAAGCTCTGCAAGTTAGTTTTCAACATTCATAACTATTTTAAACTCGTTTCTTTTGTGTTCTCATAAAAAAACTCATTTATTTTCTGTTTTGATATTTTCTGTTTTGATAGGCCTTGAAGCCAGATACTTTAATTCTACTGCAGTTATTGAAGTCAACTGAAAAATTTATCTTGACAAGACTCTCTTTTCTCTTTAGTATTTTCTATTAACTTTTTTAAAAATTTTTATTACTCTATTAATGTTTTCTGTTTACACTGAAGACAGCTGCCATCAACTATCTTCTCCATGACCGGTGGTAATAACTTTCAACGCAGCTTGTTCGAGAGACTACAACAGGCTGGACATAGTAATTTCACTCTGACGCACCAGGTATATACCTTGAGTTTTGGTTTTGATCTGTTTGTTTTTCATAATATATTGGCTTGCATTTTATTTGCCAAAACAGTATTGGATGCATCCTAAAATTTCTCTATTACATCTATCCACTACAACAATAAACTGCTAAATGGGGTTGAAGCGACTAGCATTAAAGCAATCTAGGTCAACTCCAGCCCACTACAACAGGAAAAATCAGTTAGACAATCTTTGATTAGTTGAATACAACCATCAAAATTTATAAATAGTAAAAACAGAAGGGATTCGGGCTAATTTTTAATAGAAGAAGAATCAAAGAACTACCGAGGAATAAACATTGAATTGTTTTGATCAAAACAAACAAAGTTTGTGCAAAAAAAACTAATTTGGTATTTCGATCTTCTGAAGAGTTTAAACAAAGATATAACAAGTGTTTGAGTCTAGAACTAGATTGATGTTTTGAGTAGCATTCCAAGTAAAATTCTTGCTCTTTGTCATTGGCCTTATTTTATACTCTGAGATCGTGTTTAACCTCTCTATTTACTCATTTTGCTCTGTTATGAATGGTTTTTAAGTATGGGACTCCAACCATTACATTTTAGTCACTTAACTCGCCAGTTTGAACGAGTTCTTGATCTTGATGGAGTTGAGACTGAGTGATGGATTTGCATTTAATCGTTAATAGATTATTCTGGTAGTTTTTCAGCTTAGCCAGAAATCCCTTCTGCTTATTTGACTTGCCTAGACTTTTTGACTTTGACAAACTTTTTCACGGTAGTTAATTGGGTCTTGTTTTCCTGGGCTGGATTTTTATTCTCCACATTACTAATAGCAATTCTGATGTAAGATAATGCACAATGGCTGTAAAATTCAAAAATAATGAACACATATTTAGACCCTGAATATTTACAGTTTCAAAAAAGTTTTTGGATTTTGGTTTTTCATGGTTTTTGAATTTTGAATTTTGGTTTTTGAGTTTTTTGAATTTCGGATGTTGGGTGATAAAATTGTTTGAAAGTACAAGTAGTATTTGGTATATCTTCAAATTGTCCCCTTGGACTGTATGAACTTTAATAGATTTCATAATTTTTGAAGATATACCATATACTTGCACTTTTTGTTTGAGAATTCGTCTATGTTTTTCTTCTCTAGAAACATAATCAAACTTGAAACATGCCTTATATACCAAATTTTTTATATGGCTCAAACTTCTTTAACTGCTTATGTCCATATCATCCCTGGTTTGCTTTAATTAAAAGAAAAAGGTATAGTAAAAAGTTATAATCATTGTTTGTTATATCTATAGTAATTTTCGGCTTTGAGGGAAATTTAAGCACAAGTTTGAGTTTTGTTTTTCATATGTTCTGTTAGAGATGGAGTACAGGAATTAATAGAGAAAGTAATGGAGAAAGAAAAATTTGAGGAGACCAGACATATACAGACAATTTAAGTGACTGATTTTTACTGACAAACACCAAAATCTCATTTCCATTTATGTAAACATTTCTACGAATCAAACACTCTAATGCAGTATATGGAAAGGGATTCCAGATGAAATTTCCACATCTTCATGGAATTTTTGATGATAATCGTAACTTATGCATTAATGTGTTCTTTTGGTTTTATAAAATAAACCTCTGAAATTTTTTATCGATATATTAATAAAGATAAAAAAAATATTAATACAGTTATATATTTATTTTATTAATTTTTGTACAGAGAAAAAAAACTAAAACCAAAACTTAAAAAAATATATATATAGATTAAAAAATAAAACAAATTGTTATTCACACCAAAAGTTAAAAATTGAAAACCAAACAAAAAAAAAACACTTTAAAAAACACTTTTTTGGCTTTGCTTCTCTTATTTGGGTTTTGCTTTGTGGAGATATCTTGTTATTCTACCGGCTTTTGTAATTGTATTATCACAACATGCATCACTCGGTCACTCTTTGGTTTTAGTAATAAAATCCAGATGTCCAAAAAAAAACTGCAAAGATTGATAACCATAGTTTTTTTACAAAAAGAAAAAAAAAATTGATAACCATAGTTTTTCATTTGGTTGGTGGGATCATTAAATGTAATGAGAAAGACCCAACACGTTAATCACTCGCGTCACCTAATAAATCCAAATTCAAAAATGGCTTTTTTCTATTATTCAATATTTTAAAGTAACCAATTTATTGCTTTCGCAGAAAAATTGTTTTCTTTTAAACAAAAAAGTCTTGGCTCTCCTCTCTTCCTTTGTGGCTCTCTTTCTTTTCTTCCCAAGCAAACAGATTCAATAATAAACATTTCCCCTCTCTTGTATCTCCCATGGATTCAACGACGAAGCAAGTCTCGTTGGAGCTGTTTCCATGGTTAATTGTTCACAGCGATGGAAGGTTAGAGAGACTAGCCGGAACCGAGGTTTGCCCTCCCGGTTTAGACCCAGAAACCGGTGTAGTATCTAAAGATATCATCATCGATCACAAAACCGGTTTATCAGCCAGAATCTACAGACCCGACCTGATTCAACCCGGTCAGAAACTTCCTCTGGTGCTCTATTTCCATGGCGGCGCATTTCTCATCGCATCTGCCTCCTTTCCCAGTTACCACACCAGCGTTAACAAACTCGTCGATCAGGCTAACATCATCGCTGTCTCTGTTAATTATAGGTAATTAAATAATTAATCCGGTTTAAGTTGACTTAATGAACCCAATTTTACTGGTTTAGTCGGGTTAAGACATTTAACTTGTGAATTAGATTCTAACCCCGTGCATCAGAGAATATTTTTCTATTATTTAACGAATTTTGTAATATAATTTATGTTTTTGAGTTTAGATATAATTATTTTTATAAATATATTTTTTAATAAGTGAAAATATTGATTTTTGTGTCTAAATATATTTTTATAGTATTAAAATTAATTATGATTATAAAAATATAATTTTAACCCGTCCACTAATATTAATTCAAAATGAACTATTATAAAAACATAATTCCAACTTTTCCATTCATATTACCGTATAATATAAATATTTGTTAAAAGTTTGAGATGTATTAACAATATTATTTAGCATTATAGTTTTCTAAAATTTAATCAACGAAGGGAGTGTACAACTGGTTTTTCAAACCACATTATAGTGTATGCAATAATTTTAAATTTTATGTTTTGATTTTGTATGAAAAATATATTTTCGATATACATGTATAATTCAAAATTAGTGATTTTAGTTACCAAAATATTTTTAACCCGGTTTTTATATATATTTTTAGTTCTATGAATTTTTAAAAATATATTTTTAATATTTAAATTATACATTTGAATTTTATCTATTATTTTATTATTAATTTGTAAATAAATCATAATCGTAAATATATTATATAAGCAACATAAATATCATATCATTTACATCATTATAAATATTTTATATTTCAAATATGACCATTATTTTTCATATGTGAATTTGTTTTTCAAAAATTCTAGATATTTTTGATAAAAATGTTTAATAGTATAAAAATTATTTAAATTAGAATCTTTAAATCAAATCTAAATTAATATCTGATTTATTATTTTTAATCAAATCAAATCTAAATTACCTATATTTAAGGAATTCTAAAAATATTTAAATTAAATACTAATTTTCGAAATTAAATATAAATAATTATTAAAATTATTTTTAAATACTTAAAAAAATTAGGAGTGTTTGGAAGCAAGTACTAAATGTGCTTTTGTTTTAATATAATAGATAGTTTTGGTATTTTTTTTGGTTTTTGATCTTTCGGTTTACTATAAAGTGAATTATAAGTCGGTTTTTGATTTGGTTTGGTTTGATGTAATTTTTGTTTCGTTCTAATTGGTTCGGTTCAGTTATTGATAAATAAAATTGAAAGTAGAAATGGATAGTTTTTTTTTTTTTGTCGAGGATAGTTTATTTATATGATATAATAAATATAAACTATTTGGAATTTCGACATATAAAATATTATCAAATATTTATTTTATTTATTTTAATACATGAATGTAACTAAAATCTAGAATTTAAATAAATTTTGGTTTATTCAATATTATTGGTTACACACTAGGTTGCATCATTGCATGGAATCAGAGACATGAAAATGTTTTTTTTTTTTTGTAAAACGTTAATAAATTAGGAAATTGAATATAGCTTTACACTAAGAACTAAAATAAAGCTTTTAAAATAGTAAAATATATCAGAACACTTGGACCAAAAGGTTCATAAACAATTTTGGTTAAGTTCGGTTTATTTTTTTTCTTTTAATACCACCCTTGAACTAAAAGTAATCAGAATATTATTTATTATCTTTTCGATTAATTTGGACAGACTAGCACCAGAACATCCACTTCCTACGGCTTACGAAGACTCATGGAACGCGTTACAAGCGATCCAAGCCGGGAACGAGCCATGGATCAACGACTACGTAGACTTCCACCGTTTCTTCCTAGTCGGAGACAGCGCCGGAGCCAACATCTCTCACCACCTCGCCTTCCGAACCAAACAATCAGACCACATGACCCTGAAAATCAAAGGCATCGGAATGATCCACCCGTACTTTTGGGGAACCAAACCTATCGGATCAGAAGTCACCGACGAAGCAAGAAAACAAATGGTGGACGGATGGTGGAGGTTCGTGTGTCCGTCCGAGAAAGGATCCGATGACCCGTGGATCAACCCGTTTGCTGACGGGTCACCGGATCTTGAAGGGTTAGGGTGTGAGAGAGTGATGGTTACGGTGGCGGAGAAAGATATATTGAGAGAGAGAGGGAAAATGTATTACGAGAGGTTGGTGAAGAGCGAGTGGAGAGGAGAAGCAGAGATTATGGAGACGAAAGGGAAAGATCATGTGTTTCATATATTTGAGCCTGATTGTGATGAAGCTATGGATATGCTACGACGCTTGGCTTTGTTCATTAACAAAGTCGAAGATTAAAATTTGTTTTTTGTGCGATTTTTCTCTGTTTTATTTGATGGTTTTTTCGGAAAATGATTGTAAAATCTGTTACAGCTTTGTTAATAATGTTTGTTTATGTTCTCTTGAATTTTGTGTTGTCCATAACAATTATGTGAGGTTTTAAAGGGTTACTTCTCTTACAAGAAAATTTTCGAGCAAACAAATGGATTAGACGAGACTTGTATATCACTTCCTCTGTATTAAGCTACGATGACAGCAATTATTCTCTGTGAATCGACCTCGCCATCAACCAAACTCGTTGTTCCTGTTCCATTTGCTTAAATTACTCCATTTTTGTGCCAAGATCAAGACAAAATTTGTGCCATTTTCTTTGTTGTTGTTGACTGCCCTAAAACCATCCTACTCAACTAGAGGGTCCGGAAATCTCTGGATCTTGGCTTGGCAGAAAATGTTAAAGAGAACCAGAACATCTACTCTAACTCTCTAAGCCATATCAAAAGTCCTCCTTGGCTTCGAGTTTATAGCATGGTTCCAAAGATTTTTAAATTTTGTTTTCCTATATGAAGAATAATAGCCAAGATCAAAGAGTCAAAGTGAAGATTTGGCTAAGTTTTTAAAAGCCTCTCGGTCCATGCATTTCTTGAAGCGCCTCTCGGTCCATGTATATATTTCCTAAAAAGAGACTTTATTTTTACCGGATTCCTTACATGCTTACTTGAATTTAACAAGATTTAAATATATTTGATTGCTTAAATCACTTCCATAAATTAACTATTTCTGATATCAACATATTAATATTATCAAATTAATTTGTTTTAACTCATCAAAATTGAATATCTCTTTTTACCATTCTACAGTTGTTAGGAGAGAAAAAACTCATTACCAATTGAACCATCAATTTTTGAACTTAGTGTCTATAATGTTGCCCCTCCAATTTCTATTTAATTGGATGTTTAAAGCATGGGCTTTTTGAGCTTTACCTCAGGGACGACCCTGAGTCTGACATTGATATGATTAGGTTGGACTAGTGCATTTCATGAATAGCATAAGACATCAAAACGTACAATCTTGTTTTAATACCTAATCCACTCGTGAACCATACTGTTTCTTTAACGGATTCTTAAATTGTCATGTACTCTGCCAATTTGTAAACTTAATAAGGAAACTGCCTTATGCAAATTTGATTTCCAACTAATAACATTTCCAGCAGTGGTGGAAACTAGCCCATGAAACAATTGTCTTCCTTTTGACAGACGAACATTATACTCTGGGAGCTTTTAATGCGTCTTTTGACACATTTTACGGCTTTTTAGTGTTCGTTTACAAGTTTACCCATGTATCTACTTAAGAAATCACGCATAATTAAGAACATTTGTACCACGCATAATTAAGAACATAAGAAATCAACTTCATATCAGCTTCTTGTTCTTCTAGTTCTTTTTTTTTGGTTGCTGCTTATAATCAGAAATGAACATCTATCTTTGTTATATAACGGATGTGACAAAGACAAACAAAAACGTAAAGAGAGACACACAACTTCATGTTCTTCAAACTTCTTTTTCTGTTCAGATTGTTTCTTGGTTCTTCTTTCGGCCATTGATTATTAGATTTTTGAAGTACCCTAATGTAATGACCGGTTGTTCCATACGTATCAATTAACCATATTTCCAGCTTGATGGGTGGTAGAAATACTCTTAGACGCTTTCAATGTTTTCTCGTCCACAGAAAAAAAAAAGAAATCGAGAAACAAAATTTTGATTGTATAATTACATAGTTGAATACGATTGATAACGAGATCATATATAATCATAAAAAGCAAAGAGTAGGGCATGAGCTAGAGAACCTAGCATGTATAGTACTTTCGGGGACAAGCCATAGTGGAAGGTGATCCATCTTACGCATGAATGCTACTGCTCCGCTTGATTTGAAAGTCTGATATGCATTTCTACTTTCATGTTCTTTCTACTTAAATATCAACAATCTTTTCTATTCCAACCTTCTCCTAAAATTCTGAAAGGAACTGATAAAATAAATTGAATAATTATAGAAATTAGCACCTATTTTTCAATGTATTTAGATAAATACTTGTGAAAATATGATTGAGAATTTAGCAATTTTTTGTAAAATAAATATATGATGAATTACCCTTGTTTTTTTTTTTTTTTTTTTATAATGGCTCTCTCTTACGTTTTGCCTCCAAATCCAATGTGTACCCTTGAATTTAACGTTTAATATGTTAGGATTTGAATCGCTAATCCGAACCCTGGTAAACAAAAAGATTAAACGTAATGAATAAAAGCCACACACAGTTTATAGTAGCTCATCCTTACCGTGAGATCTACATCCACTTTTGTTACTGCCAATTTTACTATGATCAATGATTAAATAGGAAAAAAACTTACGACAAACGAACATATGCTTAAAATATTTGAAAGGGTTGCTTCGAACGGATTTTCTCCTTAGGAATTCACATGTTTTTTTGTAGTGTATATACTTACTGAAATTTTTTGCTTCTGTGTGAGGATCAAATAACCGATCTAAAAGATTTGCCTACAAAACTCAAAAATATGATATACGTACATTTAATTCTCATGTTCGTCATAGTAAACCCCAATAATATATTTCTTGTTGACAACCCATAGGAATCTTTGCATATATGGTCTTGGTCTAAAACTAGCTCTAAATAGTTCTTTTCCTCAATCCACTGTGGACGGAAAAAACTGAGCGTGTAAATGCATGGGCCATGTATACATATGAGAGCAGACATGCAAAGTAGGAAACATATGGAAGTATGAATCACCTGGATTACATTATATACTCAGACATCATCATTTCCCTCTTTGAAGTAAAATTTTCCAACACATATAACATTTTCATTTAAGAACAATGCTAATCAATGAAAGCTTCCTCTCTTTTATTCCCTTTATAAATATCGAATATCACATTCTTCATGTTTCCATCTTCTCTTCTCGTATTAATAAAAATTTTTTCTTTTTTTTAACATATTCATATTTTTCTCGACTCATGGGAATGTCGAACAAGTCAGTTTCTACATGTATTTTTTTCCTTGCTTTAACTGTTTTGTATGGAATCCAGATTACAGAAGAGAGACATTTGACAACTACTTCGTCAGAGATTGAGCGAATATATAAGAAAGGTGAGGCCAGGACTTCTAGCATTGGGGTCACACATACACGACGTAGTGTCCCTGGAAAGGCGGTCATTAGCCACCCCACAGATTTTAGGCCTACGAATCCCGGCAACAGCCCTGGCGTTGGACACTCTAACGGTCGACATTGATTTGATCATATCATACATCATAATCTATAATTATATTCATAGAGAAAATTATATATATTTTCGTTTAGACCTTGTCTTCTAATGCTAAAGAGATGTTTGGACATCACTTCAGGCATTTCAATGTTTTGACGATGTTTTGACAGTACTATGATCACCATGTCTTTGTTGTGGGTTTGTTCTCCTGTCACTTATTGTAAGCTTATATCATGAATAAATCGATTTAAGAAAATTTACATTTATGATAAACCTATTGGCACGTATATTGTTTTCCGTAATGGACACACATGAAAGTGCAGAAGTTGTTAGAACATGTATCGACTTGTTAGAACGTGGAGTAGTAATCGCTCGATACTGACGTGGTACAAGAGGTTGATGCAAGTATAAATAGGATATTTCTAGAAGACAAAAAATTAAAAAAATAGTGGAGTTGAGTTATATAGAAATTTTATCTGTAGATTTATTCCTTTTATTTTGAAGAAGATATATTATTTTTGCATTTTAGTTAATTCTAGGGTATGCCCGACGGGGTGTGGTTAGCAAAGCATTGGATCCTACGATTTTCGTTTATTTTTTACAAGATTGTATGACTCTAAATTTCTTAAAATTTCGTAAACCAGTGTCCAATTTTAAAAATTTTACATATTGAAAACACTCTTTTATCTTTTTTAGTTGTGCAGATGGCTCAAAACATTTTCGAGTCCGGCCTGATCTAGGATGACACATTTCCTAGGTCTAAGTGTTTTGTTTTTGGACAAACGGTCTAAGTGTTTTATGTATATACAAGGAAAGTCTATGTTCTACATACAGACTAACTGTTTGCTAAGTTGTGGTGTTTAGTTGAGTAGAGTTTACTCATTGCAATACATGTATGCACATGTGTTGGAAACTTGTTTAATTTTAAATGTGTAAAATAAAATGGGTCGAGTCGTTGATCTTAGTAGGTTCTTTAATGTCGTGTCAATCTGATTAAATAGAGTTTGTAAACGACTATTTGATATATTAGTACATGTGTTTGAAGTTTGGTGTTGCCAGGTCTTATGGAAATCTTGTGTGTGGTACTATCTCTGCTTTTTCAGCACGTTTAAAGGAGAACTACATAGCTTACTACATCAATCAGAAATACCACCCATGAACAACTATTTATTACTCTGATTCACATCACCATGACATCAATTATTGTTAATTTAAATTATGACATAGATTGTGACATTTTACTATTATTAACTTTTTATTTATCAACAACAAACACCTAAAACACCTAAAACAATCCAAATTGGTGACATCGAGTTTATATTTTTAACTTAAATTATGATATATGTTAATATACAATGTAAATTAATGTATTTTAAATATTTAGCTAATTATTTTTCTATCAAATTACTGATTAATTTAAAAAATAAACAGTGATTAATTAAAAAAAACAAGTAAAATTAAACATAAAAGGAGCAAAACAAGTCATATTATATTGGACGAGAAAAAAGAAACAGTAACCAAACATTATAAATTAATAATAGAAATAATTAAAAGGAAAATTAAATCAACAAAGTACATTACTAATTCAAATAATTGAAAAGGTTTGAAAAAAAAAACAATTGAAAAGAAAATTAATCAAATAAGATACAGTTGGGAGTTAAGATGAGACCTCAATAAGATATAAAAGACAATGCATTGACAATAATAGTGGCTAAAATTATAATATTAAAGATGCCATAATTCTTATAAAAAAAATCGAACCTTTTTAAAGTTGATAAATAGTCAATTACTTCAATTTTGTTTGCAATTTGCCTTAAATTTAGAGAACATAAATCTAAATTTGGGCTTGGGTTTAATGAAGTTTTCTTTCAAGTTGGGATCCAGATGGTAGTCAATCGATATTTTAATTTACCCACATATTGAAAGCATGTATATAGAGTAGCATCTTTAAATGTATTTTAGGCCCAAATCTTTGGATATTAATTCGTGAGGCCTTATAGCTTCACGATGTGTGCCATGAGTATTCATCTTGCATTTTTGGGAATTGAACTTCAGGTCTAGTGTAGAAACATTTAACCTCTTTCACCACAAGGCCGAATTGTTTTTCCATAATGTCAAATGTTAGTTTATTCTCATTTTTTCTGTTTTTTGGTCAATGTTTGCTTTACAATTCATTTAATTTGTTGGTGTTTATTTGTAGCAAATGCCTCCATAGACAAACCAAAAAGTATAGCTAAAAAGGAAGGTAAAAAATAGCAAAGTACAAGGTCAAAAATCAGAAAAAGGAAAGTACATCATGAGCTAAGACATGAGGGAATCTAAAAACAAAGTCATAACAGGCAAACAAACAAAAAAAAAACAACGGTCAAGATCAAACAACTCTCCGTACAATCCAACGGCTTTCACTTAACTAGGTCAGGACCGTGTGTTAAACCTAGCAATAGCATTAAAGCACACACAAAAACCCGTAAACCCGACCCGTTTCTCGTTTTCAGTTTCCACTGAAAAAGCGGATAAAAGCCCTAATTTCGACCTAAACTTTGCCATTAATAGAAGAAGAACCACCTCTCTCTTGCTTCTCTCTCAAATCTCATAACTTTTTTTTGCTTCCTGCTTGGTCCGAAACTAAGAGATTATCAAATCACAGAGCGAATTCAATGGCGGAAGTCAAGGTCCAATCCGACGCGTCTTCGGATTCTCAGCCGCTAATTGACAATCAACCGCCTCCATCTCCGCCGCCGCCGCAGCCGGAGGTTGAGAAGGAGAAGGAGGAAGAGGAGGAGGAGAATCAAAGGAAATCATCTCCGACTCCTCCGCCGCAACAACCACAGTGGATGGCGATGCGATATCCGCCGGCGGTTGTAATGCCGCATCAGATGATGTATGCTCCGGCGCCGCCGCCATCGCCTTACTCGCCTTATCATCAGTTTCCGAGTCACCATCATCAGCATCATCAATCTCGTGGTAACAAGTATCAGAACGCATCCAACGGTGAGAACAAGACGATTTGGATCGGTGATTTGCATCACTGGATGGATGAGAGTTATCTGAATTCTTCTTTTGCTTCTGCCGGCGAGGTCTAAGTCCTCTTCTCTCTCTCTCTATTACATAGTTAAATTCACATTTATGTATCTATTGATTAGTGGTTTCGTTGACTTTTCATCTTTTGATCTTAAAGAGTTGTGTTTTTTTTTGTTTTTCACTTTTCTCTTGATTACGCATTTATGGGTTTTTTTGGGTTATGGAACCTGATGTTGTTGATAAAAATTGTAGCTTTTAGAGTAGTCTATTTGCCTCTTTAATTCGTGTCATAGAAGTCTAGCTTTGAAAGTAATCTCTTTTTTTTTCTATTGTTTTACATTATCTCTGTTTGTTCTGCATTTGGTTCTATATATGAATACTCGTGTTTATGTATTGATTGGTGTTTTAGATGTGTATTATTAACTAACAGTTTGCTGCTTCAGTTTTCGTTGACTTTTAATGTTTTGACCACTTTTAAAAGTTGTTTTTGTTTTTGTACTTTGACCTTGTTACACATTTGTTCTGTGTTTGTTGTGCATTTGATTCTACATATGTGTACTCATCATTGTCTCTTGATTAGTGTTTTAAATGTGCATTAATCGTTAGTCACTTCAATTTCCGTGGACTATGTTTTAACTTTCTTAAAAAGCTTTCGTTTACCTTTACCTTGTTACACATTTATGGTGTTTTTTTTGGGGGTTTCTTCATAGCGATGGAACATGTGGTTGTTGATAAAAATGGTAGCTTTTGAAAGTTATCAATTTACTTCTTCAATGTGTCAACTTCAATGAAATTTAGCCTCTAAAAGTAAATTTTGTTTTTTCTATTGTTCAAATTATCTCTTTCGTTGTGCATTTGAATCTAAGTAAGTGTGCTCATGTTTATCTCCTGATTAGTGTTTTAAATGTGATGTAACAGTTTGCTGCATCCGTTTTTGTTGGCATTTAATATTTTGGCCACCTTTAAAAGTAGTTTTTTCTTACTTTTACCTTGTTACACATTTGTATTTTTTGCTTTTTGGTTTCTTCATGGCGATGGAACATGATATTGCTGATAAATATGGTAGCTTTTGAAAATAATTAATTTACTACAATTTTCCAACTAATAATTTTTTAGCTTTGAAAGTAATACTTTTGTTCTGACATTATCTCTGTTTGTTGTGCATTTGATTGATTGATTCTACATATGTGTAGTCATGTTTGTCTCTTAATTAGTGTTTTCTGCTTCATTTTTATTATTTTTTTGTCACCTCAGAAAGTTCTTTTTTTTTTTAATTTTACCTTGTTACACATTTGTGGGTTTTGTAGGTCTCTTAATGGCTATGGAACATGTGTTTGTTTATAAAAATGATAGATTTTAATGAAATCTATTTGCCTCTTCAATCTGTCAATTCTGTTAAAGGAATATTTTTTGTATTATTCACGTTATCTCTGTCTCTGTGCATTAGGTCCAAATATGTATACTCATCATGTTTATACAGATTTGTATATGTCTTGATTAGTGTTTTAGATGTGCATTAATAGTTTGTCACTTCAACTATCTTAAAATGCTGTTGTTTTTTTAAATACTTTTTATCTCTGTTTCCTCTGCATTGGGTTCTAATTTCTAAACATGTGTAACCATGATTAATACAGATGGTTTCAGTGAAAGTTATTCGCAATAAGCACACTGGTTTATCTGAAGGCTATGGATTTGTGGAGTTTCTTTCCCATGATATCGCCGACAAGGTCTTGCAAGAATTCAACGGAACAACAATGCCGAATACAGAGCAGCCTTTCCGTTTAAACTGGGCTAGTTTTAGCACCGGTGAGAAGCGATTAGAGAACAATGGCCCTGACCTCTCTATCTTCGTCGGGGACTTGGCGCCCGATGTCTCTGATTCTTTGTTGCACAACACATTCTCGGAGAAGTACCCGTCGGTTAAAGCTGCTAAAGTTGTCATAGATGCCAATACTGGCAGATCAAAAGGCTACGGCTTTGTGAGATTTGGAGACGATAACGAAAGAACCAAAGCTATGGAAGAGATGAACGGCAAAAAATGCTCAAGCAGAGCTATGCGAATCGGTCCTGCTACACCTAGGAAGACAACTGGTTATCAGCAACAAGGTCCTTTTTATTTTTTATCTTTTTAATGAAGTATCTTTGCAATTTTAAGCTTGTGATTGATTTGCTCCTGGGACCAAAGACCGTCAAAGAAAAGCAAATCTTGTATCTTTTCATCAAGAACTTGCTCATTGTTTCAGTAACTGACTTATAATTATGATATCTTTTGAGTCTCTTGTGTGTACTTAACTATTGGTTGGTTTTGGCAGGTGGATACATGCCAAACGGTGCCATGACGCGTCCTGATGGGGACTCATTAAACACAACAGTAATTTGTTTATTTTTTTCTCTTTGTATCACCTTGTTATCTCGCTTTCATTTGATTGAGACAAGAGAAGTTTATATCTTTTTGTTTTCTTGTTTCACGTTAATCCATGTTTATAACATAGATATTTGTTGGAGGACTTGACTCTAGTGTCACTGACGAAGATTTAAGGCAACCTTTTACTGCGTATGGGGAAATAGTCTCTGTCAAGATTCCTCTTGGCAAAGGATGCGGATTTGTTCAATTTGTTAACAGGTAACCTTCAATGCCTTAGTTAAGATAGTAACCATGAATTAAGTTGCTCTATTATCCTTGCTCTGCCACCGGTTTGACATATAACACTTGGTTGCAGACCGGATGCAGAAGAAGCTCTGGAGAAACTAAATGGAACTGTCATTGGAAAACAAACAGTTCGGCTTTCTTGGGGCCGTAGTCCAGCCAACAAGCAGGTTAATATCCAAAACTTGTTCTCTTTTGTAGGAAAACAATCACTGTTCTTGTTTAGTGTTTGTGGGTTTTAATAGTTTTGTGTTGTGTTGCAGCCAAGAGATAAGTATGGAAACCAATGGGTCGGGCCATACTATGGAGGACAGTTTTACAATGGGTATGGATACATGGTGCCGCAACCTCATGACCCGAGAATGTATGCAGCTGGGCCTTACGGAGGGTATCCAATGTATGGTGGTCATCAACAACAAGTAAGCTGAGGAAACTAGTCAGAGCCTCTACAGATAAACAAAAACTCACTCAACTTTAGGTGATGTTAGGAGGTACAAGGCAAAAGAGAAAAATGTGCTGGCCTTTTGTCTCTCCTTGGCTTTAGGGTTTATCTTCTAGTGGAAAGAGAGTTTTGATGGAAAACATGTGGGAGTAATTTTAGGAGACTTGGATTTGATTGATTTATTTGATTTGTTTCTTGAGATGCTTTTCACTATGGAACTTATTTGATCTAAAGTAAGAAGTGAGTTGCACCGATTGATTATTCATGTTACCTTTTATTAGAAAACATATCATTTAGTTAAGAACGAATCTAAACACTTAGGTTTATTTTGAAGTTGTTTTAGAAGTAATTAATTCCCATCAAAACTTCAAATTATTGTAAAAAAAGTGAGCTTGTGGAGACTGCTTTTTTTTTTAAAGGTCCATGCGCATAAATAGGTTTCAGAATGATTTCACGTAGTAAAATGCAGATAATGTTCTAATGGAAAATAAATCTAATAAATTTGCATAGAAATCTCCACATTCCTCTTGGGTTTAAACAGAGCTGTGACAAGAGAAGGTCGTAGACGACTAAGGCGTTCTTTAGGAATGACATCACGGACGAGATGGTAAACATCAAAGTTGCACCGTCCTATCATGTGGATATCGACCATGTGTTGGTGGAACAAGTCAAGGTCAAGCCATCATATAGGCAACGAGAAGGACTTAGGGTCAGGACTCGAGACGAATATATGGATAAATCAAAATTCTTTCAATCTTAAAGGCGGAATGTGGAAAGATTCCCGTCAGTTTTTCTCTAGACAAGTAGATCAAATCATGAGTTCGTCCTCTCCTTTCACTCGAGTAATCAAATACCTCTCTTTTCAGTCGAGTTGCTAAAACACATCCATCTTCTGAGAGGAGAAGCTTTGTTCCTCCGGATCACATACCCCAACACTTTACCTAGAATAGCATGGACAAGTAATATATTTGATCGACGCCACTTTAATTTGTGGTATCAATGTTGAGCCGGGGCTCATGACATATCAACCAAAATTGCAAATCTTGTGGTATCAACGTTTTGGATGCATGAGTAAAAGTTGAGCCGGGCTTGATGACGTATCAAACAAAATTTTCATAGAAATATCCGTAAGAATTCACCTATTTTTTCTTGTATATAACAAACAAAAAGGCAATGACTATTTCTGCTAAAAACCTCTTGAATATTTTGTTTAATGCATTGACTGAGACCAAACTAGTAAGCTTCCATCTTATAACCAACACGACTTGAGGACAAGTCCTTTTCAAGAGAGGGGGGGGGATGATAGAATCATGGAACCGGAGGGAGCAAAGGACGAGGTACAAATCGAGGTTCAAGCCGGAATAAAAGATCAAGTGGCCGACCTAAGCGAAGTCGAGGTTCAGGATGGGGTACAAGACCAAGGAGCCGACCTGAACGACGTCCTGGCCATGCCAACTGGACCAATGACCAGGTCGCGTACCAAGAAGCTTATGGGAGCAATCCAGCGAGTTTTCACCGAGCTAGGGAACCAAGGCCGAGCTGACGACCCAACACCCGTTCATAAAGTCATGACCGTCATCATGTACTCTGGTCCGAACTGACTTGGTTGGGGTGTTGTCTTAATACTTTTTTTCCTTACATTCGGTTTTTTCCCACTAGGTTTTCCGAATGGGGTTTTAACGAGGTTAAGGCACACCCATCTCACGACCACGGTTCGATTCGCGACCAAGTATAACGGTCAAGGAGCTCAAAAGTTTAGCGAGAGGATGCGAAGGGTCAGCTGGAAGTCCGATCGTTATTCAACGTATTTCTAGTTTCATTTAGTTTCATTTAATGTTCTTTTAATTCTCTGTAAGACCGATGGTCTCTCTCTAGCCTCTATATAAAGGCAACAATGTACTCCTTCTCATCATCACTTATCCTTTTATAAAATTTCTCTTTGAGTTTTCTCTTTTGTTCTCTAAGAACTTTTCGATATTTTGGTGGTTAGCCATTGATCGATTTCTGGTTTATCAAGTAGATTCACCCTGCTTGACGCAGTCTTCGTTTACAAAGTGAGAGAGAGTTTGTAGTCATATCTGGGGCTTAGGGAATTTCGGGACTTGTCTCACACCCTAAAATCCGATATCGCATTCCCTTGATCATCTTTGCCCATCCCCTCGCTTCCAACCTTTTTCTTTTGGAATTGGGCCTAAAGATCTTCGAGCTCTTGCTCACGCCTTAACATCTTTTCATTGAACCGGTCTGGATTTAAGGATCTATCAACCTCCACTGAGCCAAGTGTGTGACAATTCTAGGACAGTCTTCTATCAAGTGGTGGAGCCACATGTAACAATATGGGGTCATTCGCCCCAACTAATTTAAAAAAGGTGGTGTAACTTAGTAAAGCCCAATGTTAATGCCTTCATTTATAAAATTATATCTATTCCTATTTGCCCCCAATGAAGAAACTCTCTAGTTCCGCCACTGTTGTTGTAAGTAGATTGAGATTTCTATCAACGGGTAAGAAAAGAAAACGCAGTGATGGGAAGAAATGCCACGAGACTCAAATCTAACGTGGACCAACGGTGACAGAAGGAGACGAAGACCAAAGGCCTAACCTAACCATTCACGAAGAGTAGCTTACGTTTAGGGGCTTGGAAGGGTAACTTTTACATATTTGTGGCACCAGTAAATGACTTCAAAGTAATGTTGGTTTGAACCTCATGAATTAGTCGAGCTTGGAGGGTAGCTATCTCTATGCCTTCGTTTAACGCGGTGCAAATCTTTGAGAATGGCTTGTCATGCATGATTCTCACTGTGGAGGCCAGCCACGAATGAGAAGACAAATATTTGATTAATCACCAAGAACGTAGTGTGGGATCAACCGACTTTCAAAGTAAAATTAAAGGGTAACGCAGAGAACAATTCTTGATACATATATATTCAAGAAATTAACACTTTTATCAGAAAAGTTGCGAACTTTACATTGAAAACACATAAACGCTACGTACCTACCGTTTACTTTCAAAATAGCAACAAAGCAGCATTTGCACATCATCTAACCCTTCAAAAAATTCATGGATCCATATCTAATCGTGGATCCACTTCAAGCAAAGATCTGCTTTCACGGGCTTATGATCAGAACCATTGACTTGGTCCATGGAGTCATAAGAGTGAAGAGTTGCTTTAATATTTTCAGTATCTTGGATCTTGTACAGGATCCTATCTGTCCAAGCTGGAACCCTCACTTTATTGCTTGTATCGTAGTTGCTGCTTCCTACATTGTATTTGTAAGTCGGTTTAAACCCTAAAGTTCCTTCGCAGTAACCTTTAAATATTTCACCTCTTTCGGCTTCTTGCAAGAGCTGATCTTTACTCACAAGAACCTGCGTAAAGTCATAATGTCAGTATCTATAGGATTGGAGAGTAGGTAACAAATCGAACCGTGTCCCTAAGTGGCTAAGTTACTCAAAATAGAATCTTAGAAAACTTTATATTAATTAAGCCCAACGGTAATACCGTAATAGTATCTTCTACGAAATCAAAACCAAAGTTTGTGTAATCGAAACGAGACGAATTGAACAAAATAACTCAGAATTAGAATTTTAAACTATATCAAGATATATCTATGAGAATTTTGTTTTATTACTCTATTTGTTTCAAAATAGACTATGTTTAATTTTTTTGCATACATAATTTAAGGAATTAATTAGTTTACGCTCTTTAAAAAAATTAAGCTATCATTTATCACCTGCCTAACACAATTCAACCAATAATAAAATAATATTCAGAATACAAATGACCAAAAATAATAATAAAAATCATTAATTTTGCATTGAAAATTGAAAACATTATCAAGTGTGAAGTGAAAAAATCTTTCCATAAAACATCACCTATTGTGAAAGAAAAGGAGTAGTAATCTTCCCATCCTTGATATTAAACAAAACTCAAAAGCTGAATGTCCACTTATAGAGTTATAAGTATCAAGCTATTTTTTGGATTTTATGGAGTTGGAGAAGAAGAGAAAAGACTTACAGATTGGAGATGGTTATGGATAAGGGATCGAACAGGACGATTAGATACATCTTGAATCCTATAATTGAGATCTCCAAGCCAAACAGTGAGGTCACGTGTCCCTTTGTCTCTTGATAATAGTGAATTTGATATGTGTCTCAACTCTTCATTTCGTTGATCTACTTTATTTGCGTGAGCTGCATAAACATTTGTAATATTAGTATTTCTAGTTGTAATTGATTGTGAATTAGCATATATCCAAATTAAAGTAGGTACCAGAGAGGTGACAAGCGATGAAAACCATTTTGATGTCATCATAGTTAATGCGAATAGCGACTGCTCCTTTCTTTCTTCCAATTAAACCTCCAAATCCTCCTACCGAATGTCTTTCCGCCTTTAGTTCTGCAATTAATCGTACACCAATCAAATTGTATTGTTGTTTTATTACAAAATCTTATATATGTCTCGAGTTTTTTTTTTCTTTTTTTTTTGTGAAACAAAGATTTATACTTTTTACGTTTCCTAAAGGTTATTTTAAAGGTTTTATCTTTGTTTTATAAGAAAAAATTAATGTTCTGTATTTTCAATGTAAAATTTTAAGAAAATATTCAGTTTTTAACTTTATTGTTTTAATGTATGAATATATTTAGTGAATTAATAAGGGACAAACTATATTTTTTAATAGGTTTCTAGATTGATATATTTGTGAAATAGATAAAGTATATGGATTTAACCCCCCAAAAATAAGTATATGGAATAGCTATCCTGTGCTCGTAGATCGAGCATTTGGGAAGGTCTAGCATCATATTTCCGCCGTTAGTATTTTTTAATCATTACTAGTATATTTAATTAAGTATATCTTCTATTATTAATAGGATTTCCAAGCTAAAAAAGGTTAAATGTTCTATTGATCGTTTTTTTTTCCTTTTTAGTCGAGTTAACCAAAATTGGATTGCCTTGGTAATTTTAGTTATAGAAGAGAGTATACTTCTAGTGAAAGATAGATGAAAAAATACCTTTTACTAATGTTTGTGAATTCTTTGGCCCAAACAAATATAGCTGGATCGATTGCAATTTCGCCTTCCCAAGAAGCCTGCCGTTTCATTTCGATATGGAGGTTTGCAATGTTAAAAAACACAAAGGAAGAACGTTTTTGGCTTTTAAGAATAAATGGAGATAAATAAAAAGAAACAAGTAGGGAGTATACTTACACGTGAGTTGGAGATGAAGCTGTCTGCAAAAATTGAGCAACATTGGTTTTGGGAGCTTCTTGCAAGCCAACGATAAGCAAATCGAACTTCCTGTCTTTGCCAACAAGCTCAACCAAATCCTCATATGAAACCTTCACATGTATTAGTTAAGAGTTAATGATAAATCGTAGTTAAATCTAATGGAATCAAGGAAGATGATTTTATTATACGTGATCGATAATTGGTGAATATGTACCTTTCCATTCATGTTCCATGTAATTATACGGATGCAAAGATCTGATTTTCTAGGAAAGCTGCAACTCTTAACAGCTTTAACTGTTCTAATACCATCTTGAGGCGATTTGTTACCAACCAAACCCATCGGAGTTTTCTTGTAGTCGGAAAACCTATAATACACAACAACACATATCATTAACTCATCCCAAAACCGGTTTTTTTAGTTAAACTGGATGTCAAAAAAAAAAAATGTCAAACCGGCCATGAGATTTCTTGATGAAGGAAAGTTGGACAGATCTTACTCACTCTACGTTACATGTCTATAGTACTTCGTATTTACAAATATTAAAAATAGAGGATGACAACAATTGTTACCTTTTACGTCCACACAAGGAATTTGTATTGCCCATATATTGTCTCTGCATGCACTTTAATTTCTCCGTAAAAGGCAAGATCTTAAAGGTTTTTATAGGCAGAGAGGAAAGAGAGAGGAGAGAGAGAGATTGCATAGAAGGGAAGAAGTGGGCATATTTAAAGAGAATTGATATGATAAGAGCCTAGAGATTTCATTAAGTCGATTCACTCATTAACAATGAATTGATTGGGGTTGCATAAGAGAAAATTGGGCACATGCAATGTTACGTGGTTTTCTAGGAAGTTAGGTGAATGGTGTTTGACCATAAAGACGTGTACGTGTCCAACTGGACGGTCAAATTTGATAATGACTTTCGCTGTTTTTTCTTTCATCAGGAAATCTCTAGATCGAGGAGAAAATAATACTAGTACAATAGAACCTTTTGTATTTATTAGATATTCAATGGTTATATATTTATATTATATATGCGGATGAGAAAACCCTATATACATATGCGGACGATACTTCTATTCACATCTACATCACATGTGTGTGTGCGCCTATGATAACTATAAGTCTATACACCTACATAAATGGGTGTGACTTTTTAACTTTATGCAAGAGTGGTGAGTTCAACAATTTTTTTTTTGTTTTGCACTAAGATATTACATTTTTTTGTATGAATGTTTTTCATTATATCTATTTATTCTTTTTGTTACTTTGTGCCCCTCCACTCAAATTTGACCGACATGCGTCACTTTTACTATAAAGACAATGATACATAGATTCAACTAGCTAATATTTAGATTCTTAATACTTCGTATTAATTTAAATCGATTTGAATTTGAATCAAACTTTAAGTTAAAATTGTCCTTCACTCGAATTTGACCGACATGCTCTAGAAACAAAACTAAACAAATGGTGACTGGTATTTAATTAGATATATCTTTCAGTATTTAAATGCAAGAATATTATACGCAAATCTATAATGTTGTACGAGTTTGAAATGTATCTTGGAACAATACTCTCTTTTTCTATAATATCGAAAGAAAGAGTACGTATCTGCAAGGTTCAAAAAAAAAAAGAGTACGTATCTGCATTTTGTGACAATAGAAAACATGGTATTTTCAGAAAACAAAAGAAAAGAAAAGAAAAGAAAATATGGTATTCTCGCCAACATTTTTATCATACTTTTGGGTTTTTTTTAGTAGCTATAGCAATTATCATTTATCTAAATAAATTTTCATTTTCTTACATGTACCAAATTAACTCTCTCTCTCTCTCTCTCTATATATATATATATATGTTAGAGGTTAAGAAAAAATTGTTTATATGCTGCATACTTACTGGATTTCAACCCACATTTTCACAATATATAAAGTAAAAATGGAGTTAGAAATCCCACTGAAATAAAACTAATTGATATTTAATTGATGAAATCCAATTATCTATGACAGTATAATAAATTCGGAAAAAATATGATAAATTCGGATAAATAGTTTTACACAATATTATCTTCCATCACTTTTTTTAACATGCAAGTTTTTTTTGGTAGTTGGTCTAGTACCGATAAAATACCCTTAATTTTAACAAAACTTTCTGTTTAAGAGTGTTCTAAGTGACAATATCTGTTAAAACTATATACTTATTGTTCTAATTAATTTAGCTAAAACTTTTGTGAACAAAACACCCGAAATTGAAACCATTTTATCTGTTGATTACTACATGTTTCAAAAGAGCATCGTTCGATAAAAGAAAAAAAGAAAATTAAAAATAAGAGGACTTACTTGCGCACTAGAAGAAGTCTTCGAGGAAGGTAGCACAGTAGAAGAAGGAACTTGTGAAAATACGACCGAAAGGAGATGAAGAAGTCGAGAGGGAAAAGAGTTGGACAAGACTCAAGAGGCGGCCCAATGATGTGTACTAAATGGAGAAAGGGACACGTGTTAAAAGAAATCAGATGCAGCACGAGACCTTTTTCGTTGACTATATCTCTCATACCATTTTTCTTTAATTTGTATTAAAAACCGATTTCTATTTAATTTATTCGTAAATTAATAATTTATTATTAGATGAAATTCCATATTATATCTAAGAATACATTTTCGATGTGTGATAACTTTAACCAGTAAATTATTCTTCCCAAAAGAATATAGAGAGATAATTTATTGATCGATGATTTACATTTGTAATTGCCTCAAATTATTGTATATTTCTTCCCGAAAGGGAAAATCTAAAAAGAAATAAAGTAATATTAAGAAGGAAAATTTTTTATGTATATTGAGATTGTAAACTAATGTTATATAAGATTCTATTTTGTGCGTTCACATAAATCATTTTTTTTATCAACAGTCTAAATATCTAAAACGGTTTAACTAACCAAACTAGTGGTATTGAGTTTACATAAGTAATGTAATGAGGATAAATACGAACACTTCCTGCTAATTTGTCTGCCTTTAAATTCTTCACGCGTGAGATCTGTAATATAGAGAAAAAGCTGAACCTATCCTTCATCTTCACAAACTCCTCCAAATGTACGCAAAAGCTGGCCATTCTTCAGGTGTAGACATCTTCACCAATTCCGAACAGTCCATTGTAATTCTAAATTATTTTTTAAACAATTTTGGTAATGTAATTTATGTTTTTTATCGATATAATTTTTCTAATAAATGACAAAAATTTGTTATTATGGTTAGATTTAATTTGTTATTTAAATTTTGTTTTCTAGTATCAAATATAACCACAGTTACAAAAATATAATTCAAAATCGTTTTTTCTATTAATCTGAAAAATACTGTGATTATAACTCATCCGTTCATATTATAATATTATATTGTTTATTATACATTACTATGAGAATATTATTTAAATTTAAATATTTAAACTAAACCAAACCTAATGTCTTATTTATTGTTTTTATAAAGATATATATTATAATAACTAATTTTGTGAGTTTTTAATAACTAATCTAATCTAAATTTATTGAAATCAAAACTAATCTAAATTTAAATTTAAAATTTCAGAATTATTTTTAAATTTAAATTAAAATAATTTTTTTTATTAAGATTATATTAAATTAATTTGTTTGGCAATAGTAATCATAGTTATCCATATAGCTTAAAATAAAAGAAATCATGTTTGGACATAAAAAGTGTTTCTGTTTAAATAGAATAGATGATCAAACATATTCTTTAAAAAAACAAAATTTTACAAAATGATGATGTAGATTCTATGATCCGAAGGTCGAACAATTAGAAGATGCAGCATGAAAAATATCAGAATATAGAGAACTTAAAAATAGTACGAAAACCGTCGTGTTAAGATATTTGCAAAACTAGATCACCTTGCAGATATTCAAAGATATTTGCAAAACTAGATCACCTTGCAGATATTCAAATATACTCTGCAATAGATTGAGAAAAGATAAGCTTAAAAAACAAGTTTATTGCCTTTGAACTTTGCTATGGAGATTTTCAAGTTATGTTTTTCTCTTCTTTATTTTGTTTTTGTTGTTTTAGATCATACTTTCAAACTCTAACCTTTTTTTAACTTTCTTTAATCTTTTCATTCTCTCATTAGAGCATCTACATCGGTGTCTCTTAAGGGGTTTGATGGAGGGGTTCTTCCCTTTTATTGAGTTAATTTAAACCAAAACCCATTTTTTTGAAGAGTCGGGTCTTCCTGAAGGATTTTTAGAACCGATTTTGATCAAGTTCTTCCGTGATGTCTCTCATCGTCCTTCTCTCTCTTCTCACAAGACACCGAAAATCTGAAAAACATTTCTTATCTTCTTCGTTTTCTCCGGAAACCAAATCCTCTCCACCGGCGAAAAGATCTGCGAGAAATCGGTGGCTGAAGAAGACGAATTCGTGGCCGATATCTCCACAATCGTTGTCAAGGTACGTGCGGTTACAATCTTAGCTGTTTCTTGGTTATAATTTAGGGTTTACGTTTACAAAATTAGGGTTTTCGATTTAGGGATTTTTTTTGCAATTTTCGTTTGATTCAAATTAGGGTAAATTGTATCAGGCTTTGTCTCGATGTGTGATTCCGACGCTTATGGATGTATATTAGATGATCCGTAACCACAGAAAAGTCGTAGCGATTTTGTTTTCAAGTTTTATGGTTTACAATATTGTTGATTTTGTTTGGTGTGAAGAGTTCTGTTTGTTTTGTTTTTGATAGTTGTTTGGATTGTTTTACGTGCGATTGTAGATTCGATCCTTTCATGTGTGAAGTTGTTTTGTGTTTGTTTGATTGTGAGTTTGTTTTAGTTATCTTCATCCTGTCATGCGTATGAATGATTTGCGAGTTATAAGTATAACTAGATTGGTTTAGTTGAGATGTATAGGTTGAATAAGTTATAAGTATAGGTAGATAGATGGTAGTTTGTTATTTGCAGATCATGCCTATTAGTTACTCAGAGACGTCATCTGAAGCACCAAAAGAGGACTTGGGATGCTAATTGGGGGATTCCTGAGAAAATTTTTTGTGGACGCGTCATGAAGCTTGAAACTGCTAGTGGTGTTGCTTCAGGGAATGGTGGCCGCAAGTACTACAAGTGCCCTGATTGGGTTAAAGAGGTATGACTATTGTAGCTTTAGTGTGGACGTTTGTTTGTTTTCTTGGGTTTAAATGGTTTGCTAACACACCATTTATGTAGGGGAGGGGAGAGCACATCTGGAAATGGTGTGACGAGGGGGTTACCGAGCAGATTGGAATCGTGCAGAGAAAGGTCGCAGACCAAAGGGAGAGGATGGCTACGCTTGACAGACAGCAATCCTTTGATCCGCGTATTAGATAAAGGAAGAGGTCACACTCCTTAAGGAGGAAATTGTGATGCTGATGGAGGAAATTGCGATTCTGAAGGAGGAAAATGCAAAAGCAGGTGATAGGTCTTTGGTGCTTTGTTTTCTTGCTGTTTTTGCTTCCATTTCTTATCTGTTTAAGTAGAAGAAATGATTCGCAGCAACTGGCTATGTTCTAGTTAAGGAGTTAATGAATTTATGTACTAAGACAATTATGCTAAGTAAAAACTTGTTTGTGTCTTTGATGATGCATTCGGTTATGTATAGTATTTTTGGTTAGTGTTGTTGCTTGGTTTAGCCTTTTCGGATATGTATTTTTTTTAGTGTTGTGGTAGAAACAATGACAGGTGCTTTTGCGGAGGTTCTTGATGCTTCTTAAACCCATGTACGCAAGGTAATTCTTATTTTTTTAAATCTAACTTATAGTTGACAACTGTGTTATCCTATTTAGGTTTTCATATTTTTTGTTTGGTGAGGTTTAATGGAGAGACAAGCAAGGATAGTGAGATGAGTAAAGACAGAAGCTCAGTTAAGGGAGAAGCTGAACCCGCTTTCAATGCATCACTCTAAAAAGGTTAGTGATGCTAAGAGAATCGAGGGTTACTTCTAACTTCACGTTTTAAATTTATAACCCTAAATATCTGCAAGTGCACATATATGCGTTGTAGCACTTAGGGGTCGAACCATAGAATTTTGAGTTTTCAGTACGAATGAATCAAAACTTAAGTCTAATAGAACAAGTAAAATTGCGATTTTAGGTTTTGGTGTCACTAAATCTAAATGCAAATGAAATAAAAAAGTTGTAAAACAATAAGAACTAAACGCTGTGTCTAAAGGGTTTTTGCAGGGGTTCATGAATTGATCAAAGGACAAAAAAATTGATAAAGGTAAACATCTAGTGAGGATCCTGAACTTGAATAAGCGCAGGTATGATTAGCCAACTCTCGCTACCCTAATCAACAAATCACTTAACACAGCAATTAACTCTCGCTCTCATGCTGCGAATAAAATTATGCATTAAAAACAGAATTCGTCCACGCTCACGATTCTCTATAGGTATCTTTTGTCTCCTATAGCGATTTCGCTCGATCAATTCTAGGTCTGGTAATTTGATACAACACTCTCATGACTCCAATTACTGAGATCAATTTCTAAGCGGTTAGCAACAGAAACAACATAGAGAACAAGAATGAACGAAGGAATCCTAAAAAATTATGAACCCTAAATCGAATAAAGCATATGATCAAGACATGAAATTCCTTTTGAACAAATCCCTTAAAAACCCAACTGGAAAATTACTCAGACATGGCTGAGTTTAACATCACAAAAGTATTTAGAATTGCAGAGAATTGTAGACAAAGGTTATAAAAGAAGAACAGATTGAAGTAGGAGGGCCGATGGTACCCCTCTCGGTGGCTCCTCTTCACGGCGAGTCTCTCTTCTAGGGTTCCTGGTAAAAAATGTGGCACACCCTTCTAAATGACTTAAAAGGGGTTTATATAGTGTCTTGATTTCTCGAGAACGCCTAAGACTTTCACGAATAGTGACGGAAGTGACTTGGGCTTTAAAGTGGGCTTCTGAGGCTCGGAAATGAGCTCCCCGTGGTCTAAAATTTTGCATCCCCGGCGGACGATGTTTTGGCCGCCGGTGAGCTTCAGTGCAGCGACCATATCTGGATATCTAACCGTTGGATTCTTTGATTCCACTTGAATTGGAAAGCTGGTTATCTCCTCTATCGTGTGGCAAAATTTGGGGATGATCAGAGGTGGAAAGGTCTCCATTTGTAACCAAAACTTCGACGGTCTGAATTTATCTAAAGTTGTGCTTTTTGCTCCGAAATGCATCACTTCTGTCAAAATATCCTGAAAATTCTTTTGAGATTCTTAAAATATGGAAATCACTTAAAAAATTTTAAAACTGAGTGAAAACACCTGCATAAGATATTGAAAGTGATCTATAAAAATGGTCAAAATCAGGTGTTATCAACTCCCCTAGACTTAGACCTTTCTTTGCCCCCAAACAAAAATCAAAGTTAGGAAAGAGGTTTGAAAAACGCAGGAGCTAACAAAATCTCAGAGAACATGCTTCTAAACCAAAGTTAGTCATTATGTTCAGATCAGGTATAGTCTAGAAAATTCTCACCAAAATACATGCATAATTAGTCCGTTGATCCATCATGCGAAAGTCTACACACTTAGACCTATCTTCCAGTCAACTAGCTCTTAACATTCATTTTATAAATTCCAGTGGTTCTCATCAAAAGAATATAAGGCATTCAAGGCTAGGTATTCAAACGGCTGTTTATTGGTGAGGTTTGATGTGTTTAAAGTTACCTTTTTCTGGAGAGACATGATATTATGCAAAACAGCAAGAGAGGATAGAGTTGTTGATATCCACAGTTTCCAGTCACATTCCTCTTACCTTAAGATTTCTGATCTCCTTTCTTCAGGTTCTCCTCATGACTCCCCCAGACTTAGTTTTTTATCCAGGTTTTAAAACCAATACTCATAAATGAATACCTGTAGCCTTTGCTTCAAATAATTTCGGTCATCCTAGACTCTTTTAGGTTTTTTGTTTTTCGTTTCCTTTCACTTTTTTGATTTTTTTTGAAAGGGGAAAAATGCTTTTGGACGTAGAGTCTTAGGAGACACGAAATTTACCTTTAAGTTCAAGCTTTTTGAGGCACTATTAAGCTTTGATAGATTCTTGATGCTCCACTTTCCCAAATTTCTTCAGTCTTTCTCTTGAGTGACTGAAAACTATGTTGTTCTTCACTCTCCGGCGTTTTTACTCATATCTGTCCATATAAGTTAGAGAAAAAAATGCATGAGGTTCAAAATGATGTTTGGGTAAAGGGTATGGTACCAGATAAAAATGAACTGGCCATCTAGGACAATAAAGAGTGGTAACAATAGGGTGAAGATGTCCTAGATGTATATCATGATGCCTGCTAAAACCAATGATGAGAAAATTAGATGTCAAAATTATGTTCAAGTAAAATGAGCTAGTATATCCTGGCAGAAAAGATCTCCATGAATAGAAATCCTCTGGTGGGAGTTCGTAGTGCAAGTACTCTAGCTACCGCCTAGTCTGATACTAACCACAAAAGAACTAGCATGTAAAGTCTAGAAGCGCATGGTTTTTTTTTTCGGCGTTCCTGTTTTGAAAACCTTTTTGTGAAAGATCTTTTATGAAACACAAACTCAAAACAAACCAAATTTCATTAGTAATGGATGAACATTCTCCCCCAGACTTAACACTGCCCCCAGACTTAAATCACACTGCCCCATACTTAAATCACACTGTCCCCTGTATGATAAATCCTTGGGAGGACGGGATAATGATGGATTGAAATATGGAATGTTTAGGTGTACTTACCTGGCTATGTTTCACAGCTCTCGATGTTTTTTCTGGTTCGTGGTTTCTGTTCACCTTTTATTCATTCTTCGCTTAAAAACCTGAAATAATGGAAAACAAAATCATGAAGCAAAAATAGAAAATTCAAATCAAAGGGAATAAGTAAAATACCAAGTGGGTTGCCTTCCACTAAGCGCTTGCTTAAAGTCATTAGCTTGACTTTGATGATGCTCTAGCCTGGTGGATCTGCCAAAAGCATTTCTTCTCTTCCTTCTTCTTCTGCGAGGTATGGTTTGACACGCTGTCCGTTAACGACGAATGTATCTCCCTTTTTACCGCAATGAATGAGTGCTCCATACGGTTTTACTTCCTTTACTGTGAAAGGTTCAGACCATCTTGATCGTAGCTTTCCTGGAAAAAGCTTAAGGCGAGATTTGAAAAGAAGAACCCTGTCATTCAGAGCAAAGGATCAATGTATGATCCTTTTGTCGTGATATGCCTTTGTCTTCTCCTTGTATATCTTGGAATTTTCTTAGGCATTATGGAGGAATTCTTCTAACTTGTGCATTTGAAGCATTCTTCTTTCTCCAACTGCTTTAAAGTTCATGTTCATCTCATTAATAGTCCATTGTGCTTTGTACTCCAGCTCTACAGGAAGATGACATGCTTTCCCATACACAAGATTGAATGGCGTGGTCCTTAAAAGAGTTTGTATGCCGTCCGATAGGCCCAAAGTGCATTGTCGAGTTTTTCAGACCAATCCTTGTGGTTTACGCTGGTTGTCTTTTGTAAAATCGATTTAATCTCTCTGTTAGATATTTCCACTTGTCTACTTTTCTGAGGGTGATATGGAAATGCAACTTTATGCGTGACTCCATTCTTTTTGAGCAGATTTTCGAAAACTCTGTTGATGAAATGGGATCCTCCATCGCTTATCACAATCCGAGAAATTCCAAAGCAAGGGAAGATGATTGATTTAATCAGCTTTTATAACCATTTTTGCATCATTAGTAGGGCTGGCAATTGCTTCTACCCATTTAGAGACATAGTCTACCGCTACTAAGATGTATTGATTTCTGAAGGAAGTTGGGAAAGGTCCCATGAAATCAATTCCCCATACATCAAAGATTTTGACTTCTAGAATAAAGTTTTGAGGCATCTCATTCCTCTTACTGATGTTTCCCATTCGTTGGCATGAATCACAGCGTGTGAGATGTAGGTGTGAGTGTCTTTGAACATAGTAAGCCACCAAAATCCTGCTTGAAGGACCTTTGAAACTGTTTTGTAGGTTGTGAAATGTCCTGCATATGCTGAACTATAGCATCCGAACAGTGTTCCTTCCATTTCTTCTTCGGCGACACACCTTCTGAATAAACCATCTACACATCTCCTACAGAGAAAAGGTTCATCCCAGTGCCAGATTTCTCTTAAGAATTTCTTCTTTTTATAGCCAAAGAAATGTGGAGGTTCGATGTCTGCAGCTAAGTAATTCGCTATATGCCCAAACCATGGGATTTCAAAAGCATCTGACCACCGTATAAGAGGTTGGTATGGCTTTTCTTGTGCGGTTATAGGTATAGTATCCATAGCGTAGACATTTTCTTCTGGCAAACTATCATTCAAAGGAAGTTTCTCTTCTACTTGAATTCTAGAAAGATGATCTGCTACTCCATTATCTGCTCCTTTCTGGTCTCGAAATTCAATATCAAACTCTTGCAGTAGGAGTATCCATCTGATTAGCCTTGGTTTGGCATCTTTCTTAGACATGAGATACTTGATTGCAGCATGTTCAGTATGAACAATGACCTTAGACCCTACGAGATAAGATTGAAACTTCTCAAATGCAAAAACGACGGCTAAAAGCTCCTTCTCCGTAGTCGCGTAATTACATTGAGTTTCATCCAGAATTCTACTTGCATAGTAGATTGCATGTAGTTTCTTTTCTTTCCGCTCACCAAGCACATCTATAATAGCAAAATCACTTGCATCACACATGATTTCAAATGGTTGTTCCCAATCGGGCGGCTGCACAACTGGAGCAGAAACAAGAGCTTTTTTGATCTTATGAAATGCTGTCAAGCACTCATCATCGAACTCAAAGCTTGTTTCCTTGCATAGAATACATGTGAGAGGTCTAGCAATTTCAGAAAAGCCTTTTATGAATCGCCTATAGAATCCGGCATGTCCCAAGAAACTTTGGATTCCCTTCACATTAGTTGGAGGTTGTAGGCTAGTCATGACTTTAATCTTTGCTTTATCAACTTCAATACCTTTCCCAGATATTTTATGTCCAAACACAATTCCTTCGCAGACCATGAAGTGACATTTTTCCCAGTTCAGAACAAGATGCTTGTCTTCACAGCGCTGCAAAACTTTCCCTAAGTTTGCCAATCATTTGTCGAAAGAGGATCTATAGATAGAGAAATCATCCATGAAGACTTCCATGAAATCTTTGATGAAATCAGTGAAAATAGACATCATGCACCTCTGAAAGGTTGCAGGTGCATTACACAATCCAAATGGCATTTGCCGATAGGCAAAAGTTTCGTATGGACATGTGAATGTCGTATTTTCTTGATCTTCTGGTCTAATAGGAATTTAGAAAAATCCAGAATAACCATATAGAAAAGCAGTAGCATTCGTGATTTGCTAATCTTTCTAGCATTTGATCAAAGCAAAATGATCCTTCCGAGTTACTGCATTCAGTTTTCGGTAATCGATGCACATTCGATGTCCCGTCACTGTTCTTGTAGCGATCATTTCATCCTTGTCATTCTTGACAACAGTTACTCCTCCCTTCTTCGGGACAACATGCACAGGACTCACCTAAGTTCTGTGTGAGATAGGGAATATGATTCGTGCTTCCAAAAATTTCATGATCTCTTTCTTTACTACTTCCATAAGGTTTGGATTCAACCTCCTTTGGTTTTCAATCGAATTTTTGGTATTGTCCTCAAGATTTATCTTATATATACAGAGGTCTGGGGAGATTCCTTGTATGTCATCTAGAGAATAACTTATGGCTTTCCTATGCTTCCTTAACTCATTTAGCAACTTAACAGTTTCAGCTTTACTTAGGCCAGAATTTATGATGACAGGGTAAGTTGAATTTGGTCCAAGAAAAGCATACTTGATTCCACCAGGAAGAGGCTTAAGCTCGAATTTTGGGGCTTTGAGCTCGCTCCATGGGTCGTTTATAGCTGCCAAGGTATCTTTTGGAGGGGTAGGGATGTGAGTTTCCTCATTCAGGTCGAGATAGCTCACAAGTTTCACATAATCCTCGGCTTTAACAAGCATTTGCGCACACCCTTTCAATACTTCTTCGAAAAGGTTGCGGTCATCATTTGTGGTGGTGAGGATGATTTTTAAAGGATCATTAAGAAGGAATTCTTCATAGACTTCCTCAGTTATCTCATCAAGCTCATCAATCCAGCAAATTCTGCCATCTAAAGTGGGTTTCCCAAGAATTTTGTTCATATCAAACTGCATAATCAGACTCCCAAGATGGAGATCTATCTTTCCTTCCGAAACATTTAATATTGCCCCTGCATATGAAAATAAAGGTCTACCAAGTATTAGAGGATCATTTGGCTCCCTTTCTAATTCAAGCACTACGAAATCAGTCGGAATACAGTTTTCTCCTATCATGACTGATACATCAACCAGGACTCCTTCCGGTTGTCTGACTGATCGATCGACAAGAATCAGCGAGATTTTTGTGGGCTGGAAAGTATGATATCCTAAACGTTTTGCAACTGAGAGCGGCATCATGTTGATGCTTGACCCTAGATCACAGAGAGAACGTTCAAAAGTCATATTCCTGATTGTGCAAGAGAGTACAAAACTTCCCGGGTCTTCTTTCTTGTGGGGGACATGGTTTTGTAAGATGAAACTACATTCATGAGTTATCATCATAACACCTTCTTCTAATGCTAAAGAATTTGTTAGAGTGCCCTTCATGTATTTCCTAAGAGCAGGTTTCATCACACAGGCTTCAATGAAAGGTAATCTCACATTTAACTACTCGATTATCTCTTTGAGCTTAGCCGTTTCTTTCTCCTTCTTTGGTCCTTTCAAAACTCGTGGGTATGGTGGTTTGGGCTTGTAGACACGAGTAAGACGAGGTGGTATAGGTTCTTCTTCAGCAATTTCTTGAGGAGTGTTTTTCTTTTCCTTTTCTCCCTCTTTCCTGACTACTGCATCTCCCTTTTTATTAGCCGAAACTCCTCCTTTTTCTCCTTCTTTGAAATCTTTTGGATACTCTGGCTCCTTGTAAGCTTAACCACTCCTGAGGGTAATTGCTTTTAAGTGATCAGAGGTCTCCAATTCATTTATTCTTTCAGAAAAAGGTTCATCAAGATCATTAACAGAGGAATCCGTCTCTTTTGATTCATCACTAATCTGAAGAAGAAAAAAGGTGGAGAGCTTGTTAATAGCATCTGCATGCCTTTTTGATTGACTCTCCATCTCCTTTTTGAGTCTATTAACCTATTTTTCAAGTTATTCAATCTTGGAGAAAGGATAATGAGGAAATGTGGGATTTGATTGATCTGATTGGGGTTGCTCGAGAAGGTTGGAAAGGAGGTTGAAAATCTGACTGGCCGCGGGTGAAGTGCTCTGAGCCATGGTGGAGCTCTTCTTGGCCGCGGCCAAAAGCTTCCTACCCGCGGTGGATACCAGTTTTTCAGCGGTTGAGAGACTCCCACCCCTGGTGGGGTTGATTATGCTCAGCCTCTTTAATCTGGTAAACATCAGCGGTTTGCATCATCTCCTGGGTTTGGAAATTCCTCTCCACCTCAAAGTTGTTCATCTTCTCAATGTAGGGCTCGTTATGTTTGCTTCCATTATCAGGGTAATAAATCGAACCAATCCTACTAAGGATCTTCTGGATGTCTTCCCTGATCTGATTTAGGCATTCTTTATCAACAAATGATTCTTTTTTCTTGATCTTAGGACATCTAGATTGGGTTAGAAGTCTTCTATTTCTGATAGTTCCAGCTAGATTAGTAATATAGGCGTGAGCCTCATCTACAGATCTAGTGGAAAATTCTCCATTGCTAGAGGTATATAAAAAAAACTTCAGTTCTTCATTAACTCCATGGTAAAAGATGGTCATTAAGCGCTCCTTGGAGAAACATGGTGTGGACAATCTCTTTGGTAGTCTCTGAATCTTTCTCAGGCGTCATAGAGGTCCTCTGTGGCCTTCTGTTGAAATTTTTGGATCTTGTCCCTTAAGAGTTTGGAACGATCTCTAGTGTAAAAGTGACTTAGGAAAGTCTCTCTACACTCTTTCCACGTCCTTATGGACGCATGTGGCAAAGTTTTAAGCCATTTACTAGCTCTACCAGTTGGGGAGAATGGAAAAAGGACACACATATGGTAATCGATATTTTTCATTATGGTTGAACACAGCTCTTCAAAATTTTAATATGATATATTGGGTGTTCAGTAGAAAAACCATTATACTTTTTGAGATAGCTAATGTATTGTACCTTAGCTTCATAGTCGCCATCCTTAGGCAAGGGTGGTCGAATTGCTCGCCTATCTGCGAAAATTTTGTGGGCTGCATCGCATTCTCCAATCAGTTGTTCTCCCTTCTTGGCATATTTTGGTTTTCCAATCGCTTCATTGCCATCATCGATTGGGTAATTAAGCTTGTCATCAGATGGATCACCATCTAGAATATGGTGCTCTTCAGCGAGACAATCAGGGATATACTCCCGACCCTCATCGAAAAAGTACTTGAAAAGTCAAAGAAAAAAATAAAAATTAGAAAAAGTTCTACAGAATTAAGCAGAGATTCGTAACGAAAGGAATCAAAATCCCTGACAACGGCGCCAAAAACTTGATGCTAAGAGAATCAAGGGTTACTTCTAGGTTCACGTTTTAAATTTATAACCTGAAATATCTGCAAATGCACATATATGTGTTGTAGCACTTAAGGGTCGAACCATAGAGATTTTGAGTTTTCAGTACGAATCAATCAAAACTTAAGCCTAATAGAACAAGCAAAATGGGGGTTTTTGGTTTTGGTGTCACTAAATCTAAATGAAAACGAAATAAAGAAGTTGTAAAACAATAAGAACTAAACGCTGGGTCTAAAGGGTTTTCGCAGGGGTTCATGAATTGATCAAATGAAAAACAAATTGATAAAGGTAATCATCTAGTGAGGATCCCGAACTCGAATAGGCGCAAGTATGATTAGCCAAATCTCGCCACCCTAATCAACAAATCACTTAACACAGCAATTAACTCTCGCTCTCATGCTGCGAATAAGATCATGCATTAAAAAAAGAATTCGTCCACGCTCGCGATTCTCTTTAGGTAGCTTTCGTCTCTTATAGCGATTTCGCTAGATCACTTCTAGGTCTGGTAATTCGATACAACACTCTTGTGGCTCCAATTACTGAGATCAATTCCTAAGCGGTTATCAACATTAACAGCATAGGGAACAAGAATGAACGAAAGACTCCTAGAAGATTATGAACCCTAAATCGAATAAAGCATATGATCAAGACATGAAATTCCCTTTGAAAAATCCCTTAAAAACCCAACTGGAAAATTAATCAGACATGGCTGAGTTTAACATCATAAAAGTATTTAGAATTACAGAGAATTGAAAGAGACAAAGGTTAGAAACGAAGAACAGATTGAAGCAGGAGGGCCGATGGTGCCTCCCTCGGTGGCTCCTCTTCACGGCGAGTCTCCCTGATGAAGGTAGCACACGAGATCTTCTATAATGATTACCAAGCCAAATTCACCCTAGACACGACCAGAAATGGTGTTCGACTACATCAAATAAAGATAGTGAGAAGGTAAAACGCAGAAAGATGGAGCACTCCACAGCTCAAAATGAAGATGTATCAGAGGCAAGGCCGGTTGGTGTTAAGGCGGCAAAAGCAGCTCAAGCTAAGAAGACTGGAATGCATACACCCTCTAATAAACAGGCAGGAAAGGCGCCTGTGGATATACACAGTATCTGGGATATCAAGAAACAAGATTTGGAAATGAGAGACAAACTGTCGAAGCATAAGCTTCTTGATAGTTTACTAGCTAAAACCGAGCCACTTTCGGACATTAAAGTGGCTCTGAAGACCAAACTAATTAATGAAATGTTGCTATAATGGTTTTCTGAACTAAGTAGTCACTGGTTTCTGTTTTAGGTAATATGGTTTTGGTTTACTGATATTAAGTTTAGCTTATGTCATTTTGGCTTATCAATAGGTTCGTTTATGATTGATAATCCTTCGCTAATTATTATTTTGTTGTTATTTTGCAGTTGGCTGGGATGATACACGGGTCGTATCTCCATTTGGATGTCACAGATTTGTTGTAGTTCGAAATTTGGCTACTTCTGTTTTGTTTGTTTCAATATCAACCATCATGACTTGTATTTTTATGTGGTATTTTTGTTTTGTTGTCGAGGTCACGGGTTATGTTTTCCTTTGTTGTTGCCGGAAGTTTTTCTTTTGTATACCACCTGTTTTCGATAATATTTTAAAAGGTCGAGCTCCAAAAATTCTTACTGGGTTAAAGGACATCAGTACCATTTGGTTTATTACCTCACATACGGTATATATCCCAATTGGGCAACGTTTATCCAATCTATTCCACTTCCACAAGGTGATAAAACAAAACTATTTGCTACTATGCAAGAATCCGTCAGAAAAGATGTTGAGCATGCTTTTGGAGTCTTGCAAACTTGTTTCGCAATTGTGAAAAACCCGGCTTTATTTTGGGATAAGAAAAAAATTAGAAAGATTATGAGAGCAAGTATCATACTACACAACGTGATCGTAAAAAATGAACAAGAAGGTTACACAGTTTGATTTAACAACTTTTGAGCAAGGAGAAGGGAGCAGAACGTCACAGGTCGATATGTCGTTTTCTACGGATATGCGTACTAATCTCAGCAATATGATTGGCAACCGAAAGAAAGTTCGTGATAAAAAGATACATGAACAGCTGAAAAATGATTTAATTGAGCATATTTGGGAGACATTTGGCTCTTCTCAATATAATGACTGATATGATTTATCATTTGTTTTCAATATCTATATTGTCTATATTTCATTATTGCAAATGTTTAAAATTAATATCAACATAATAATTATTTTTAATTTAACTTCAAAAAAGATATTATTTGTTTATTCCCCAAAACTCCATCAGAGATTCACCATTGGAAGAGCAAAATTGATGGGGTTCTAAAATTTTTATTTCTCAAAATTTTATGAATAAAAAATTAGGGATGAATCCCATGAAGGGTTCACCATTAAAGTTACTCTTACATCATACTTATAGAACCTCTACTACTCATTACCTCCATCCTTTTAGCTCTTCAGATTCAACCACTTCTCCTAGCTACTAGACTTAATCTTACAAGCAATCAACAACTATTAACTATTCTAACTTAGCCTATCTGAACTAAGTTAGGCAAATTGCTTCTTCATTTTTGGGCCTTAACTAAACATCGATTGCCCAATAAAGCACAGCTTTATTTCTTTTGTTGACTTCTCTTCTTCTTCTTTCTACGGTGAAACATGATATTTTTCTTCTTCCTTTCTTCTCTTGATTGGCTGATTCTTCATTGTCATCAGATGAATCTCATCCTCTTCTCTTTTGCAGGAACAATAAGGAACAACGCTCAACACTCCCTTTTGAGCCTTTGATTTGTTCCTGATTCCAACTTAGGGTTTTGAATTTTAATACATTTGATTCTTCTCTGCTTGTCCTGTTATTCTTTGGAGGAGCACTCATCAAGACGTCTGCATAACTCCTAGGTAGTTCGATTTTTCGATCACCCTCTTGCTATGTGTTTTCATGGATTCAGCTTCCTCTTCCCTTTTGAGCTTCATTGCTCCCTCTTAACTGATTGTCTTGCCAATCACAACTGATTTTGGCTTCTCTTTTTCTTCCAGGTGCTTTGCTGAGGAGTCTCTCTTGCCTTCCTCCTTCTGAGTTATTCTCTGCTTTTCACAGCTAGGTAATTTTCTTACCTCTTGTTTTGACTTTGAGGCTTCTGCTTCTCTTTGAATTTTTTCTTGTTCTTGTTTGTTGTTTCTGAGTTCTGATGGTTAAACCCTCTACTCTTTGTCTCTTGGGTCATCTTTACTCTCAAGTGAGTCTTCTCTGCATCCCCGTCAAGTTTGGCTTGAACTCTCTTTGCGTTTCTGTCGAGAATCTCTCCAATCAGCTTCTTCTCTTTCTCTTTCAAAAGATAAGTTTCTTTTGGTTGAATTCAAACTGTGTCAATTTTGATCACCATCTTATTCAGTTTGGTTCCTTGAACCACTTCCTTGGTTTTCTTAACTTTAATTTCTCTCTTGTCAGACTTGTTTTTCCTGGTTCTCAGTTTGATCACCGGCTTTTTCTTCTTCTCACATTTTGTGGTGTTTTCTTCAGGTTTCCATGGCTGAGACATCTATGAGTTTGAAGCTTCAGCATTTCCAGCTCCTTGATAACTCGTTTCAACCTCTTCCTTTGATAATGGAGTTGTTACTTCTTCACTCAAGGGCATGTGAAGGTGGAAGCTTTTCTTAGCCAATTCCACTTCAGGAATCTTTCTTTCATCTTGATTAAGTATGATGTAGCTTCTTTACTTAAAGGTAACTACATATCCGTTTGCAATCATCTGAGAGACACTTAGGAGATTCTTGGCAATTTCAGGAACTAGAAGAACATTTTTTATGATTCTCTTTCCTTTTGCTGTCATGACTTCAATGTCTCATGTTCCTTTGGTCATCAGTGCCATTCCATGACAAGCTAGGATTGGAACTTTGAAACTTATGTCAAGTCTGGTGGAAAGCTATTCATTTGGAGTCATGTGATTTGTGCAGCCACTGTCGATGATCCATGTGTTTTCTTCAAGGAGCTTGTGATCTTCTTGTCTTGCAAAGATCATATGGTACTCTTCTTCTTTTTCTTCTTCAGTTTCCTCTTCTTGAGTTGTTTGTGCTTGTTCAGATCTCCTGTTTCTGCAGTCTTTAGAGATGTGACCCTGTTTGCCACAGTTGTAGTAGTTTCTTGTGTCTTTGTTTCTTTTGAACTCAGGTCTGCTTCTTCCATTTTTGAAATAACACACTTCTTCATTATGTGTATCCCTTTTACAGAAACCACACCACCGTTTTCTTTGTCGCTTGTCTGACTTGTGTTTTCTCTGTCACTGTTCTCCATTTTCAGGTTTTTAAACCGAGCATAAAAGGCACCTTCAGCATCTTTCTCATCATCATTTGGGAAAAAAATTATCTCATGAGCTTCCAGAGACCCTATCAGCTCTGCATAGGTAACTGTCCTTAGATCCTTTGTTTCTTCCATTAAGGATGATAGAGAAGCATAGCTCTTGGGCATAGCAGCTAATTTTGACCAATTAATCAAAGTTTTATTTTCCTTCACCTAGAGCTCTCATTTGGTTTGTTACAGCCTGAATTCTATCAGATTTTGCCTGAACCTTTTCTCCTTCCTTCATTTTAAGATTCTCAAAATCTCTTCTTAAGAATTGCAACATAACTATTTTGACTCTTTCATTATCATGATAGCAATGTTCTAGGAGATCTCAAGCTTGTTTTTTTTGTTGTCGCCGAGAGGATTTTGTCAAAGATGACATCAGCTACAACATGTTGGATGATTCGGAGTGCAGCTGTGTCCTTGCTTTTGAGCGTCCGCAGGCTTGCAACGTAACTTCTTTTGCCTGATCTGCTCTTAGAGTTTCAAAGATTTTTGATGACTGTTCTGGAGGTCCTTCTTTGTCCACATCCCAAAGCTCTGTGCTCATGAATGTTGTCTCCATCCTTGCAGTCCAGAGTTCATAATTTTGTCTATCAAACACTGGAAACTAGTTGAGAATATTTCTGGTTAAGCGCCATTTTGAGTTTCACTTCCTTTCTCCTTCTCTGAAATCTTTGAACTTCCTCCTTCTTGTGTTTTCTTCAAACAGATTCCGAGAACAAATACAGCTCTGATACCATTTTGAATTTTGCTATCAAGATTATCAGGTTATGTTTTTCTCTTCTTTCTTTCTTTTTGTTTTATTAGATACTCTCAAACTCTAACCATGTTTCTCTTCATTTTCATTAATTTTTTCATTCTCTAATTACATTTTATCTATTTAAAGAGAAACATGTTTTATGTACAAACAAAATTTACTTAGTTTTCTACTATTCTGTTTTTGGATATTTATTATTTCTGTTACCAATCAAATATTTTAATTTAATTTATCTATTTATTTATTTACGATAATTAATAAATTAATATTTTAAAATTTTATTTTTTAAAATAATTGCGAAAAATTCAAATTTAATTCAATTAGTTTAGATTTTCTTAGATATATGTTAGATTAATTATCAAAATTATAGAAATCAGTTGTTTATCTTTATAAAATAGTAAATAAGATATTAATTTATGTTATATTTAAATATTTAAATTCAAATAATATTTTTATAATGATAAAGATGATAAACAGTATATTTTTATATATACTTTTTATAATCAATTCGTTTAAAAGTTTTAATATTTAAATTTTTTATAAATTCTATTATATAGTAATATGAACAGATGGAGTAAAATTATGTTTTTATATTCATAGTCATTTTCGGATTATTTTTTTCATTTTTTTGGCTTTTACAAATTCCTATTTTTTTTCTCTTTCTCACTCTTCCGGTATTTATCCGCCATTTTCTTTTGCCTCTTCTACAACATTTTCCTTCTTTGTCGACTTCTCTTTCTTCTCCTTCGTCTTCTTCCTTCTCTTATACAATGTCTTTGACTTCTTTTTCTTCTTTCTTGTCTTCAACTTATATGGCTTTTTGTATCTTTAGGTATGTCTTCATTTTCTTCTTCCGGTTTTTTTCATCCTCTTCTTGTTTCAACTTTTTCTTGTCTGATTCAATTTCTCATTCCCTCTTTTATTCTCTTACTTTGCCTTCAAGCATCTTGGTCATCTCTTCCTTCTTCTTCAAATCAATCACACATTTTCGCCATCAAAACAGTTTCATCGTTTCAACCACAATTTCCTTGTATCTTTCGTCAAAACAGCTTTTTATCTTCTTTATATTTTCTTACTTATCTTGTCTTCTCTGACTACTCCCAATAAATCATATTTCTCTTCTTTGATTCCTTATTCTTCTGCTTTTCGTTAGCCTCCTTCCGCATCTTCACCTTCTCAGACTTTGTCATATTCATCTTTTGGTCTCTTTTCTCATTTTAAACCTGGTTCCTTAGATCGGCTTTCTCATATATCAACTGGATTCCAATAACTTTGTGCTATTTTCTGAATTCTTCTTTATCAGCTTCGTCTTCTTCTTCCCCCATCTTCCTTTTTCATCTTCCTCGTCTTTTCCTTCTTCCTCTTCATCGTTTCTGACTTCTACTTCTACTTCTTCTTCTTTATTGTCTTTGTTTTCTCTGACTTCTTTCTCTTTATTTTCTTCTTTTTATTATCCTTACTTATGTTGTCTTCTTTTACTTCTCCCAGTCGATCGCATTTGTCGTATTTGGTTCTTTATTCTTTTGGTTTTTCTTAGCCTCATTCCGCATTTTCACTTTCTCAGACTTGTTATCTTCATCTTTCAGTCTCCTTTCTCCTCTTTAACGCCTGTGTCCTTATATTTTCCGAATTCTTCTTCATTAGCTTCGTCTTCTTCTTCTATCTGTTACTTTTTTCATCTTTCTCATATTTTCCTTCTTCCTCTTCATTGTCTTCGACTTCTATTTCCTCTTTTTATCATCTTTGTCTTCTCTGAATTCTTCTTCTTATTATTCTGTTGGTCTTTTTTCATCTTTTTCATCTTTTTTTCTTCTTTCCATTATTCTTACTTATCTCGTTCTCATCTTTTTTCTCTTCTACTTCTTCTTGGCTTCTCTCTCTGTGAGAATCTTGTTTCATCGATTTCGAAGCTTGAGTAAGCTGATTTTGTCAAGAGTTTCTGGGAAACCTCCGCAACAATATATCTGCGATTCCAATAATTTTGGTACTAATATTTTTATTTCTCATACATCGATCGGCTTTTACCAAAATACTGTAGGTGAAATCGTCAATGAAAAAGGATGTCATCATTTTGCAGGAGGATTTTATCAAATGATTTCATATTTTGCAATTAGATTGGATGTAACCAGATTTAATTATATACAAGAGCTGAATTTTAAGTGAGGTTTGTTTGCCTGGTATTTTTGTGTCCTATGTAAAAACTCAGTATTGATGGGCCTCAGGGTCACAGGTATTTTGCAAGCCTGTTGGTCAGGAGTTTTAAATTTATCAAACCCTAATGTCTGAAAGTGCACAGATGTATGTTGTAGGACTTAAGGTGTCGATCCACAAAGAAGATGTCTAATTTGCAAGGAAACACCAAACTGGGATAGTAAGCCAAGTCATAAACGAATGGGGGGGGGGGGGGTTTTGGAGTTTTTGGTTACGAGAACTAAAACTAATCCTAACCTAATAATTACGGGAAACTATATGCAATGAAAAAGAGTTACTAGAGAATATCTAAAGGTGTTCGACTCAAACTAAGGACTCTAGACTCATAGTGGGCGATTTAGACTTCTCTGGTTTACCCTAATCGATGTCTAAGCATTTCAATTAGTCTCCAGGCGATTTATCCTTATTTAATATCTAGGATCTGAATATAGCTAGAATAGGCATATGTATGGCTAACCAACTCTCATCATCTTCACCAACTAATCAATTAAATCTAAAAATTAACTCTCGCTCTCATGCCAAGAATAAGATCATGCTTTCTCAACTGAATTTGTTTGCTCACATCTTCTCTACAGGCAGCTTTCGACTCCTGTAACAACTATGTTCTTCTGAAGCTATCTTAGGCTCAGAGAATAGGTCATGAATCTATCCTCATGTAGTATAAACAACTTAGAAGAGATGAGATCTAGAATATGGTTTAGAAACTTAGAAATCCTAACCGAAGATGTATCCTATCGATTTACTCTTTAGAAACTTGACTCTCTGGGACAAATCTACATGATGCAGGAAATGATAAAAGACATGAAAGAATGCATAAGATGAAATAGAAAAGGTAATTAGATAAACAGGAGAAAGAACAATGGTTCAGGGGAAGAATTCCCATATCCATCACCTAACCCTAAGAAAACAAAGTTTGGTGGCTCAAAAACTCATTACAGGAGCACACACCCGATTAGGAATGCTAAGAAATGTATTTATAGGTCTTAAGGTCTTCCAGGTTTCATTTAGGGCTTCTCAGAAGAGAAATGACAAATGGGCTTTGATGTTGGGCCTTGTGGCTCGGTATAGGTCCACCATGGGTGAAATTCCTCTGGGGCAGGTCAAACACTTGTTTGAGGCTGAACTTCCGACGGTCTGACTATGAGCTGAAAATGTGGATTTCTTCTATTTTGCTATTTTTTTCCTTAAGTTTCCTAAAAAGAGCCTTGAAACTACAAACATAGAAAAATCATAATAAAAGTTTCTAAAACTGATTAAACCTTTGAAAAAGCATTTGAAATCAATGATGAATATGGATACAAATACGGTGTTATCAACTCCCCCAAACTTAGACTTTGTTTGTCCTCAAACAAAACAAGATCCAAACTGGAAAAATATCATCAACAGAAATTACAGAGAACTCACAAATATCAGCAACCATACTTCTAGACCTTAATTAGAGACAATACATCAATCAGATCAAGTCTAGAAAATTCTCACCAAAATACAAACATAACTAATCCGTTAATCCGTCATGCGAAGATCCACACACTTAGAACTAACTTACAGTCAACTAGCTTTTAACATTCATTAAAGGTTTCAGTAATCTCATCAAAAGGATATTAAACAAGGCATTCAAGGCTAGCTAGGTATTCAGGGGCTTTTCAATTGTGAGGTTTGATGTGTTTAGGGTTACCTTTTTTTGGAGAGATATGATATTATGCAAAACAGCAAGAGATGATGGAGCTGTTGATATCCACAGTTTCCAGTCACATTCTTCTTGCTTCAAGACTTCTGATATCTTTTCTTCACGTTCTCCTTATAAATTAATGGTTAAAATGGTTACAAATACGGTGTTATCAAGTATAAAGTTTTTAATCTGCAGATTTAATCTGTAGCATTGTTTCTTCTTTTTTCTCTTGATTCTTGACGTCTCAATATTATATTGGGTTGTGTCCTCTACAAGAATGCTCCATGGCCAGCTTCAACGCCTCACCCTCAAAAATGGTAGCAAAACTCTGATTATCTTGCGTCACTATATGTGAGGGAGATGGACATCAATGCTGCAACTTCCATAACCATGACAACAGATTCTACATAAAACCGAAGAA